CATTGTGTGATTTCTACAAAGGAGTTTAATTGGTGGCGTGCTACACGTCGCCCATAAAATACCTTACATGTTTTTTTCTAATAATTAAAATATTAAATGACAAAGAAGTATGTGAATACTTAGTAGACGTATGCTACGTTTATAATCGGAAAATAATGTTTTGAGCATAAATAAAATATTTTAAAAAACAATGTATTATAATTTATAAATAGGCTTCGTAAATATTCTTATAGACACCCTTACTTTTACCACTCACAAACTGTCACTCCTTATCACATAAAATCATAGTTGACGAGATCAAACAAAAAAGGTTCATATGCCGCTCCCATTAAAAATGGAATGTTAAACGCATCTCCTCTACGAGTAAAATTTGAAACTTTATATTTAAAACTTGAAACCTTATATTTATAAAATCAACGCTCTAGTAGGTTACATAAAACATCCTTATATGCTTTGAATACCCTAATCCTCGAAGAATAGGGTATTATGCGCCCATGCTAAATAGTGTAATTAGTAAATCTCTTTTGTGGTCACAAATCATTGAATTCGGTTTTGGGACCCCATGAAAACGACCATCTCCCGCCATACCCGCTCCAACCCGATTTAACTTCCAACTTTTAAATTTTGTCCTTCATTTTTTGAATAATCACACAAATTGCCCAAAAGATGCAAGACATTGATATATGCCTATCCATGTGTAATTTGAACGGTTATGGTTCCATCCTTTAATGCTTTATTGCTTTACCCATTAAACAAACATGTATACTCAGTATTTAGATACATCAATTTTATTTTATTTTTTTAATTTTTATTTTTGTTATTAAAATCACCCTTAATATATATAAATATATATATATATATATATATATATATATATATATATATATATATATATATATATTTTACTAACATGAGATTATCTATAATTTTCTTCTTTTCTTTGAAAACTACTAACTCTATTACATTATAGTATCTGCAGGGGCGGACTCAGTGCGGGGCAGCGGGTGCAACTGATAGCATGAAATATTATATAAAATCTAGGGAAAATGGCACTTTTTCCCCCTATGTTATATGCTTATAGTACTTTTTCCCCCTGAGTTATTCATGCATCCACATTTGCCCCCTCAATTATTATAAAAGTGGCGGTTTTTCCCCCTGATAATATTAAATAGACATTTTTACCCTTAAATACATATTTTATTTATTTCTCTTGTTCAACAAATTATTGTTTATACGTAGGGATGGCCACGGTTCGGTTCGAACTGAACCGAACACTATAGCAATCAAATAAAAAAAAAATCGGTTATGATTCATAACATAACCCAATATTTGGGTTTCCGTTTATTAAAATTGTGAAGTGGAAAAAAATAGATTCTGAACCGTGAACCAGAGGTTCAAATCGGAACAACTACTAGCAATAGCTTAAAATTAGAATTATAATATTTGCAAATAGTGTATGTTTTTTTCGCATTTATATTGACTCTCACATATAAGTATATATAATCGCGATTTGGTTTTTATTTTGAATCGTTGTTTCACAATTTCGGATCCAATTTGAACTGTTGGTTCAAACATTATTTTAAAATTTTATTTTTTTTATTTTTAAAGTATTCTAAATTCAACAATTAATGTATTTTATTTTTTCAAATTGTGGTTATAATTTGTTGGAGAAGTAAAATAAAGGAAATATTTATTTTAAGGGTAAATATGTCCATTTAATATATTAGGGGGGAAAATTGCCACTTAAATAATATAGGGGGAAAAAGTGCTATAAGTATATAACACAGGGGGAAAAAGTTCCATTTTCCCTAAAATCTATATTTATGTTGAAAATATTAGTAGTTTGAGTAGCTTAGTTGGTTGAATTTTAAATTTTATGTTATAAAAGGCTTATGTTATGGGTTCAAATCTCATTAGCAACACTTTTAATTATCTTCTCTCTTTCATTTTTTCACAAGATAAATTAAATATTTTTAGTCTACTTTTTATGAATCATTTAATTAACAAATTAAATGCTATTTTAGTCTAGTTTTTATAAATTATTTAATTAATGTAGTATTTGTATTCGAATTAGTTTAGAAAAATCGGTCTAACTAAAATAGATTAAAATTTAAAGTATTTATGAATATATTATTCAAATTATTTTATCTAATTGATAATGTTTCATATTTTCTCATAAGTATATTGTAATTTATAATGTATTTTGTATTTTAACCATATTATGGTTGTTTGATATTTTGTCATTGACATTTCTAACGTCATTTAATATTCACCCCCACTCAGATGATTTTCTGGATCCGGCACTGAGTATCTATTCATCTATAATTTTTTTTTTTTAATGCATATTTAATTTTATTAGTTGTCTTACGTTGGCTAATTCTATTACAAGTTAATAAAGTGTTTATGCAATAATCAATTGTAAAAAAAAAAAAAAACAAAAAAACAAAAAAACAAAAAAACAAAAACAAAAACAAAAACAAAAAAAAAACAAAAAAACAAACCACCCTATTACACGTTAGAGAGTGGCTTTAGTAAGATAGTGTAATATGACTATACAACATGTTAATGTCATATTGTAATTTATAAAATTTATTTCCTATCAAACTTCAAAACCCCTACATCTCAGCCCGACAGAGCATTTGGAAAGATGTAAATTACGGTGACTTAATGGCTCAACATATAGGGTCAAATGTCGAGAAAAATGATATATAAATATAATCGAGGAAAATGGAATATATAAATATAATCGAGGAAAATGACAAATGTTGTGTATATTAATACAACTAGATCATAAATTGTCTAAATGAATACATCAGTTACATGGAACAAAAATGAAAAAAAAAATCTATTTAATTCCCTTAGCAAAACTTACGAACGAATAATTTAGAATTAATTCCGAGTTATTTATGACTAACTAATAATTTAATTAAATTTAATTTAAAGCAATTGTACAAACTACAAATATATTCTTTCTAAACATGTAAGATATTGATTAATTAATTTATAGCAAGAATTGCTTGATTAATCAATGCTTGCTTTAAAGAATCGAGCAAATCGCACACTTTCCAAGTATAAAAAAGTTAAGGTGGATGGAAATGTAATAAAGGCAAAGTTGAAGGGTTTATACATAAAATTGACATAGTATATGACACCTCAACAATTGAAGCGGCAGTTATGAGCCACGAAAAACACTTGGGAAGGGTCTGTAAATAAATTTGACAAATTTGACAGCTCAGCTATTTAACCGACACTTGTTAGCCACTAATAAACATCACTATACACATTTCAAAGCCTTTACGTAACTGTAACGGAAAATGCTAACTTCTCCTAAATTTATTACTCACACCAAAAATTACTGCATGGTAATTTTTAATAAGTTTTTTTTTTTTTTTTTTTTTTTTTCCAAATGTCAACATATTACGGGGCGTTTTGTTGGCGGGAGAAAATTACGTGGGAAAGAAATTGCAATTCTATAGGAGATGAATTATTGTGAATAAAGTGAGAATTTAAATTTCAGTGTTTGGTTTACAGGAATAAAATTATTGGAAATTTCAATTCTAATGTTTGGTATAGATGAAAATTGAATGGAAATAAGTAGTATAAAGTCCAAAATGCACATTGTTGTTGTCAGGCATCAATTTTAGATTAAAAAATGAGAATGTAATTTTGTCTCATCATTATATTTTTTTCTTCCTAAAATCCATGGAATTAAAATCCCAAAGGAGCGCATGAGATTTTAATTCCATGAAAATGATAGAATTGCAATTAGGTGAGAATTAAGTGGGAATGGAATTTAAATTCCCTCCAACCAAATGCTCTGTTAAAGTTTCTCCCAAGGTTGAATCCCCACTCCAAGGGCTCTCCACTATTCGACCTGACAGAACATTTGGGAGGATGTAAATCACGGTAACTTAATGACTCAGCAGACAAGACCAAATGCTGGTGCGCACAAGCGATCTGTCCATTTTAGACATAATCCCCACACAGTCTGCCAAAATTCAAACATTGAACTCTTCTTTCAAATACTGTCTACTGAACTATTGAGTTAAACTCGTGCGAACATCAACATATTAAAGCTTGTCACATTAGAGAGCGATTTTGTTATGAGTGATAAATATAAGGACATATAGCATTAACCAACTATACCTCCACCGCCACATTTTATGTCATATTATATTTTTTAACATATACTCATTTAAAATCATTTTATAATCTATTTGTTTTGAAATAAATGCCATATTTGTGTTTGACATCACTTAAAAAAATGTGATTTTTCAAAAATTAATGTTACATTCCCTCGTTATTTTATCTTCACAATATGTAATTGGTTTCACTTGTATTTAATTAATAATAAGTATATTTTCATTTTTATTTTTTGAATGATGAGAAAAATATTACAAATATATACTCACCTTTATTACATCCAATATGTTCTCAAGAATTAAGATCCGATCTCACAAAAGATCATCTCTTAAAACATTTTATTTATTTTCTTAGAACCCTTGCTTTTCATTTTTTATATTTTTGGGATATAATACGTATACAACTTAAAATTAATAATTATAAGAAATTATTACTAACAAAAGAAAATAGTAAGGCATGTAAAATAGAATAAGAGAAGTATCAATTTTGATATTCGATTATTTTGAGTTCAACTATTGTGATTTATCATTTTTTTTTTCAAAAAACGACAATTTAACTCTAATCTACATTTTCTCAAGTTAAAAATCTATTATATTTACCGTCATTCAGGCATTCAGCTACATTAAAGAAAAAACGAAAATATAAAGTTAGAAATTTAACCTTTTAAGAAAAAAAAAAAAAAAGCAAAAATGAATCTAGCGTTACTCTTTATAAAATTCTTTCAATACGACAATACGTTACATAAAAAAAGGAAAAAAGTTTTTTTTTTTTTTACTGGAATTACATATTTCGATAAAAAGCACTTTCAAACTTCCATGAGCTTTTCTCACATATTTCATATTGGTTTTTAGGCCCACCACTGCCACTCTTTAAACCCCACGCCACCTTAGTTTTCTCTGTACACTCTGTTGCAATCACCCGCCAAAACTTCCCTCCGTGCTAATCTCCGGCGAGGATTTTCCATGGATGATTACGGTAACTCCCTGCATTGGAAGCGTTCAGTCGTTGATTCGCCGTTGAGCGGCAAAGAATCGCCGGTGCGCCCCGGTGAGGTCTTTCAATTTGGAGCTGATAATTCATTCGGCTGTTCGTTTTCGTCTCCGCTTGATTGGAACGACGAACAGGTATTCTGCTATTCCCTGTTTGCTTCGCTTTTGTTCGGTCTCCGTGAAGATCAAGGAACAACGGCAGAGCAGATGCTCTTTAATTTGATTGTTGTAGTTTATAATTTTTATTTTTTTTTAAATCCTTCAATTTCTTAGTCTTATTTCGGAGAAAAATCTGAATTGGATCGAAATTATGGATTATATGTCATATTTTCTGAGTTAATCTGACGGGGAGCAAGATGATCAGTTTGTTGCTATGGATTCTGTTTGAAATCACTACTAGAGTTTTGAATTGAAGTGTGTATCAGAAGATATTACGGAGTTAATCAATTGATTTTTTATTTTTTATTTTTTTTTTGGATCAGTTAAGAGATTTAATGGAGGGTGACAATGGTGATAGTGGGGATCATGTTGTTCCATATCCGTTTCAAAGTGACAGAAATGTTCCATCTGCAGAGGGAGAAGTCATCATAAATCAAAACGATGAAAAAGCTTCAAATCTCAAACCTTCTGACAAGAAGAAATCATTTGATTTACATAACACTAAGCATGCTGCAAATGAAGCTCTTCCTGCATCACCGTTCATGGTGGACTCATGGCCCGATCTTTACATGTCAAAAACCGACCAGGATTTATCGTGTGCTTTAGAATCTGACAATGCAGCAGGAACTCTTGGTTTGTAGTTTGTACCTCTATTTTCTGCAAATGAGATGGGATATTATATAGAAACAAATTTCTGAAGTTTGTTTTACATTCACTTTGGCAGATAGAACAGGTGAACTGGACTCTGATTCGGGGTTTTTTCAGAAGCTGGATGGGAACGTATCTAATATGGAAATTCTTGATGATCTTGATACGATCCTTAGGTAATGTAAAACATTGCGTATTACGCATTCATACTATCTTGTGGTTAATGTTACATTGGCCTACTTTGTGCTCTCTCCATTTGATCATACATCCTCACGAGTCATGTTTTGCAGCAATTATAATCCAGATTTTTGCCAGACAAGCCTTCCGAGTACTCAGCTATTACACAACCAGCTTTCGACCAGAGGCTGTGAAAACATGAATGATTTCATCACACCAAATATTTCTTCACAAGCATTTCCCGAACCCTTTATAAAGGAAAAGGTATAAAATTACGCATAATAGAGTTTCAAGCTTTTAGGTTTACAAAATGAGTAATTATGTATGCTTTTCTTTTTAGTCATTAAAACATTTTGAAAGTTTTATCTAAGACTTGATATTCTTTGTATGTTGGCTTTGATTCTTCAACAGATAGATTTGGAGTTTGGCGGGAAAGCACCAGCATTCAGTATGGAGCTTGACACTGGTTTTGCTGCAATGCCTGATTCATCCTTGGACGAAGTATTCTTCGAAGCTCATTCTAAATCAAAAGAAGATCATGAAGCTAATCAATTTCAGGATTTATTCAGATACCAACCAATTTCCTTTGATAAACTTAACAATCACTATATATCAATGAACCAACCGTGTCCATCTGTCGCCTTTCCTCAACCAGTGCAGTCTCGCTATAATTCCAAGTCTACCCCATATCCATCTGTTCTCCTTCCTCAGCCAATGCAGCTTCACTACAATACTGGGTCTATGCCATATCCAGGTTCTGAGTTGGCTTCTTCTGTATCCATGGACTTTGCTAGTCAGTATAGCATGCCTGGTTTGTCACAGTTCCGTGATAAACAAGTTTACCAACAATCAGTCCCTTGCAGCAGTTATGCCTCTGCTCCTTACCGTTCAAATGCTTTAAAGATGTCATCAGGTAGACCCATGGATGGTTTGGCAATGACCCGAAAGACGAAAGTTGAAAGATTAAGGAAACAGCAACAAATGAGACCGATGCTCGCAATCCAGAAGGTGCAGCAGCAGTTTTCTGATCAAGCAGTATCCACAGACCATTCTGTGGTGGCACGTGGGAATTTCTTTGTCGAAGGAAAGTCACAATTAGAACGGAATGATTCTAATATTGTTAACATTGCAGCTGATGATCATCCAGTGAAGGACCCAATACTTTATCAGCTTTGGGAAATCATTCAAAAGGTTTGTACTGTGTTAGATATTATGAGTTTTTTTTTTTTTTTTTTTTTTTTTTTTTTTTTTTTTTTTTTTTTTTTCTGGTCTAAGCATTCATTGCTCAACAAATGATGTTTCTTCTTCAGTTGGATACCCGCGTGAAAGTCAATATCCGAGACAGCTTCTTTCGACTGGCTGAGAATGCTAAACAGAGGCAGTATGGTAACAACACAAACGGCATGAACACGGACAGCAACACATCAATTGTCAACAATGAAGACATCAACAACAATAAAGTGGAGACTGAAACAAATCTAATAGACCGTGGTGTTGCTCATTTGCTGTTTCATCAACAATTATCAGAAGAGTTCTATTGTGAAGGCAACCCATCTAGTTCATTGAGCTTTGCCAGGTAGAGAGTACCCCAGAGCTGTGAAATCTCTCCCCCTTCTAGCTTCCTCTGTGAAAAGGCAAGAACCCAAGAATGACCCGTGTTTAGAGACATCCAATATGCATCAGACAATGAAACTGCAGATGGTGGAGTATTGGGGTTGAATCCTCTTGATGAAGCTATCACATTTCCCAGTTCATCCAAATACGGTAACTGGCTTCTCTTCATTGCTGACAGATTTCTGTAGTAATGAAAAGCTCCTCTTACATCGCCAACCGACTAGACAACACTCATGCATGATCATAGAAGAAAAAGACGAAACGAGCAGACTGATTAAGTACAAAGCAATTACTGTTAGGCTATTTTAAACCATCAATAAGCTGTCTTGAAAATTACAGAGAGTCATTTTGGACCGTGTCTTCATACATGTATTTCCCATTTAAATTTGTTGTTGTCAGGAAGGGACAATAACAGGTTTTGTCTATGAAAATGACGATAAGAGTTCACTGTTGTAACCACAGAAGATGGCGTCGTCACACAACACAACGGTAAGTGACAGCTGAACCAGTTGGAGGGACTTGATGAGTAAACTTCACCACCTGACCCTTCTTAAGCCCAGAGTACCTTGCAATTGCATCAGTTTGATGCATCCTAGGCATCTGAACATAATATACAAACCATGAGAGAGAGAGAGATTATTGTAAGCATGACTTGGTATGAGCTAAAACCTGATTCTCTTCAATGTTGTATGCCTTCAGGAGCTTTGCCTTCTCCTCAGCAGTCAATATCTCATGCTCTGGCTGCGCGATGTGCTTCGTGACATTGATCAGCAAGTCAGTAATCTAAACAAACAGGATAGATGATGAGAAAACAGATATACATTTTTAATATACTGAAAGTACATTATTTGTGTATAGAATGTACATTATTTGATAATATATAAAAAATTGTGTACTTCAAATAATGTATTTTATGTATACAAATCATGTACTTTTAGTATATTAAAAATGAACTTTTTATTTATGGTTCACACAAATTTGTGGATCATGGTCTATGGAATAATGATTGCTTAAAGTCATGGTAGTCATACCTAATGTTCAACTTCAATCAAACACAGTTTTCATTTGTTTATACATAGGCGTTTTAAGTCCAAATTTATATGAAACATTACAATCTGTCTATAAAGGAATTCACAACATTTCTCTCATTTTCTCCTCATTTTGTGAGCCCAATTGTTTCACACCCGTATAATTCCTTCCCTTATTTTCTCTCCTATCATTCTACCTTTTTCTCTCTATTTTGTGCCCTACGCTCTCCTGTCATCTATTACTTTATTCACTTTCATATAATTATAATTTCAAAGTTTGATTTTAAATCCAAATAAGTTTAAAATAAATACACATAATTTTCGAACGAAAAAAATAAAATTTCAATTATTTAACTGAAACACATAAAATCACATTAAAAATTTTGAAGTACATTAAATTCAAATACGAACATAATATTTGAAAACATAAATAAAATAAAATAAAACATGAAATTTTATCTCAAACCTTTTTGAAAGATGTTCTTCCGTAGTTAGGAGGTGGAGGAGAATATGGATATTGATAATTGGATGTGGATATGGATAATTTCAATTGGGATTTTTTTGAGGATTTGAATTTTCTTCTTCTTTATTTGAAGACATATTGAGAGGAAATAGAAATGTATGAGGAATTTTGAGAGCAAATAGAAGTGTTATGAAAATTTGAGAGAGGGTATATATAGAGATGATTGTTTTTTTTTTTTTTTTTTTTTTTAAAGAATCTTCAACGGTCAAGTGACTATTGAGGAGGAAAGAATTTTAATTAATTCATTTTTTCTTTTTTAATAGTCATATATGACCGTTGAGTAGAGATTTTTTTTTTTAAAATGAAGGTTGGAGACAACTGTCCCCCATCCTAATGGAGTGTGCATGCATATCAGTAGTGCATGCTTGCACGCGCTACATGCCTATGACTTTTATTTTTCGGAGAATAAATATTCTATCCTCCAACCCTTCTCTCACATTGGAGATGCTCTAAATAGCATAGAACAAAGTCGTGCAATTAATATATGTCACAGAGGTAAATTATTTTGACATTTGAAAAATTATAAACTTAAATTCAACTCGAGTTGGGTATGTGAATCTCGAAACAAATATACATTTTATAAAAATTTTATTCCTATGAGTAGCATGCAGCTCGATCACTTACTTGAAAGGTCTCAACTTTGACAGGATACTCATCCACAACCTTCTTAGCATGGGAATTCATCTTGCTTTGCAGGACCAAGATCACCTTTTCCAAGCTCTCTTTGTTCACAATTTGAAGCAAAATACCAACAATAACTTTCTTCCGGATCTCCTCTGTTCCACAAAAGATAACCAATATCTACAAGAAAACAGACAATTCAATATGAAGATTTAGGCTCTTTTTGGTAACATAGTTAGCTTATCAGTCAATATTGTTTTATTTGACCACTATTAGCTGTATGACTAAACAATCAATATGAGTGTTTGATTAATTAGCTTTTATAAAACATATTGTCTCAAAATGCTAAAATTAAAAAAGCTGTTCAAACCTGTCTTTTCAATCAAATTTTTGAGAAAGTGATTTGGCACGTAATCAGCCATTTATAAACACTTTTCTACATCGAGTCAATGCTATTAACTAGTAAAATTTAATTCACTAACTCAATCAACTAACAGCTATTTATCAAACGCCTCTTAATTTATAGCAAAATCACAAAAAGAAAAGAAAAAAAAAAACAAAAAATAATCATTATGGTTGAAATTTTCAAAAACATTTTAGATAGAGTGATGGATCATATTTTCATTCTCATTTCCTTTTTTTTTTTTTCTACAAATTTCCAAAATTTTCTGGTAGTTGAACACGCCTAAGATTTTTACACCAAAACACACACAAAATCAGAGGATTAGACGCTCAAATCGCAACTAAGATATATGTAAAGAGTGATATACATACACTGTGGTGGGAGTGAGTGGGACACAAACGAGGCTGTATGTATACCTTTTTAGTTGGGCAGGTTGTGCGATGAGTGGAGAAACGGAGGCGGTCAAGTTCCGGCCGGTCGCCAAAGGAGGAGCGGAAGTCGGAGAGGGAGCGGCGGAGCTCGGAGTCGGGAACATCGTAGCCTCGATCTCTGAGCATTTCAAGCAATGTGCGGCGGGCAAGGAAATAGCGATGGCTCTCCACCGAACCCCTGTCGATGAAGCTGGTTATGCAGCTTCCTCCTCCATGAATGTTATCGCTCATTTTCTCTCTGTGGATTATGCTGTGAGAGATCGAGTTGGGTAGGGTAAATGCGTTATGCGTGAAGAATATGGAGTGCAGGGACTGTACGGATAGAGTATGGGGATGGGGGAGAATCAACGTTGATTTTGCAAAAGACAAAAAGTATTCCGTATAAAGCAACCTCTTTCGCCTGACTCATCATTTTTAATGGAAAAAAATTATTTTTATTTTGTTTTTTATTAAACTTAGGTAATACCTCTGTAGAGGTAAATCGCGAGTCATCTAATCAGTCCATCGGTTAAATCTTAGTTTTTATGTGCGCACAAGGGATTCAATCCAGCATCTTTTGGACTTTTTTCTCATACATGCTTCCAGTGGGGTTTGAATGCCTATACTGTTGTCTTCCATCATGACCTTTAAGTCAGCCTATGTTAAATTATTTTTATTTTTGATAACACAAGTCTCCCAACTTCATACTATATCTTGCGTTGAAAAAAATTAGTCTAAAATGACATTTAAAGTTATCATTCAGTGATGTAATTTTTAATGAATCTACCCCGATTTTGATTGTGTCAAAATGGATTCAGATTATCCTTAGTGAAATGTTTAATTTGATATCGCACAAAATGAAAATAAGAGAATATAATGAATGTGAATTTGCATTAGTATATATACAATTTACTTATTTGTAAATTTTAAATTGTATAACAAGTGTGATATTTATTTTATATTTTTCCACGAATAACAACCAACCTTTAATCAGTTTCACCAGTCATGTAGGCTCTGTTTGGCAAACCTAGCTGAAAAGCTATAAGCTAGGAGCTGAAAACTGAAAAGTTATAAGCTCGGAGCTGAAAACTGAAGAACTATTAAGCTAGCTGTTATGATTGAAAGTGTTCGGTAAAATTAGCTTTTTGATAAGTTGATAAATGTAAAAAGACTAAAAAGGACATCTTCATAAAATTTAAATTACTTTGTTTACTTATTAAAATTTAACATTTTAAAATAAAACTATTAGCATAATCATTATCTAGCATCTCATAATGAAGTAGCAATATTGTTACAAATCTCATAATAATAATAATAATAATAATAATAATAATAATAATAATAATAATAATAATAATAATAATCTCTTCAATAATAATAATAATAATAATAATAATAATAATAATAATAATTGCGGATAAAGGAGAAGAGAAAATGATTTTAATTAGGAAGGGTAAATTATGTCATTTCTTTAAAATAATAAGGATAAAGATGGAAAAAAAGTTAAGAAGCTAGGAGCTTATTTTGAAACGCTACCTAAGGTAGCGTTCCAAAATAAGCTCTTATTTTAAGCTAGGAGCTTATTTTGGGAGCATTACCAAACAGAGCTTATAGCTAATTAGTAGCTTAAAATAAGCTATAAGCTCTTAAATAAGCTCTACCAAACAGAGTCGTACAGAGAGAATTAATATGAAAAAAATTATTTCTAACAAATGTGGACAAATTATTTGCTATCAGAGGTGAAGGTTATCCATGGTTTTCTATTATACAACTGTCAGAATCAAATTGACCCAGAGTAAATTGAATAGTGCAATTAAATCTTTTTAAGTAAAAAAATTTCATTTCAGATATTCTAAATCAATCAAATTGTTTAATTGAGTCTAAATTTACCTGTTTAACAAGTTAAGGCTTTACAAGTTTGATACTGTTGGGTAATATGGTTGAAAAATTCCAAAATAATAATTCTATAGAAAAAATTATTATTATATGGGAAAAACAGAAAGCTGGAGTGTTTGGATATAGGTTTAGCACGAGTTTGAACACAAAGTTCTTTTCCTTAAACCCTTATTTGCTACCTCCCACAAGTGCTAGGAGCGTTGTAGCCTAGGTTTCCTAGGATAAAACGTGCTACGATTCCTTGTTTAAGCACCTAAACAAGGAACCCGGCAAACAAAGCAAGAGAAAGAACACTGCTGGGTAAAGAAGAGAGTAGAAGCAGAAGTTTTGAAGCAAAACTGTACTGGAATTCCTTAGTTTCGTGTACTGTATAAAATGCTACTGCTCTACCTCTCTTTATATAGGGATGTTGGAGTGCTAGCATTCAACATGGCCATTAAATTGGTATTAAAACCAATTGTGTAACATCTGTAACAGTCACCCACTAAGTAGGATTAAACTCAGAATTTAAAATTGGAATTAAAACAATATTAAATTCGTAACAGATGAGTTTAATCTGTACAATAGGCTGAACTTTCGGGTTTCAGACCGTTGGGGTGCAGGTTCACACGAGAGCACACGGATCAGGCAACACGAGAGTACATCTCTCGTGCTTGCTGTGGTGCAACCCGAGGGTACACTTCTCGTGGTCACAGATGCACGAGAGTTGTGCTCTCGGTGCACCACAACCTCTCTTGCTCTTTGTAGCACGAGAGCGTTGGGGTGCAGGTTTACACGAGAGCACACGGATCAGGCAACACGATAATACATCTCTCATGCTTGCTGTGGTGTAACCCGAGGGTACACTTCTCGTGGTCACAGATGCACGAGAGTTGTGCTCTCGGTGCACCACAACCTCTCTTGCTCTTTGTAGCACGGGAGTATCGGTTATGATACCAAAGTTTGGCATAACTTATGCCCGCAAGGCCAGCCAATTTCCGGACGACATTCGTGCCCGCAGGTGCCGGCGAGCTCGGGCTTGAATTAAGCCTTTTCGATCTCCTCTAGTTGGATTTTGATTTGCCCCCCCTCCCCCCGCGCGAGAGAGCCTCTATGCTACACAATTCTACAAGCTTCAAAAGAGCTCTTGTATATAAGGGGGGCAAATCTTCTTTCCAAACCAATGTGGGACAAAGTTCACTTTGTTCCCTTCATTTCCCAACTCAAATCGGTCTACCTTGAGAATCAATATCTCATTCACCCATTATCCGTTTTGAGCGTACAATATATCAATCTCTTCGTCTTACTACGAAGAACCCGAATCCACTTTGACCCGACCCAAATCGGAAGTGGACCCCACTGATAATTGTACCACAAAATAGCCACTTAATATGCCATTTTAAGCTAATTTTTCCAACAGATACAATTATTTTCAATATTTTGAAAGGTTCTCTACATCATATAAAATTATTTTTACAAATTTTTAGAAGTGTCAATTTTTTTCCTAAAGTTATTTTCTATATTTAGAAATTTTCTCGAGTGTTTATATAATTATTTTTTACAAATTTCGGAAGGGTTAATTTAGTACCAAAATGAATTTTCTATATTTAGAAAGTTTCTCGAGAGTTTAAAAAATTATTTTTTACAAATTTAAGAAGGGTCATTTTAATACATAAAATTATTTTCTATATTTAGAAAAGTTCTCAAGAGTTTATAAAATTATTTTTAACAAATTTCAGTAGGGTCAATTAAGTACGCTAAATTATTTTGTATATTTAGAAAATTTCTCGCAAGTTTATAAAATTATTTTTAAAAATTTGACGGGTCAATTTTGTACATAAAATTATTTTCAAGTGTCTTTTTTTTTAAAATATATTTTTTAGTTTTTTAAAAGAACCTTGTCTTTATTTATTAAAATTAATAATAATAAATAAAATAAAATAATGGTTGGATACTTCTGGCAAATAAAATTATTATTATTATTATTATTATTATTATTATTATTATTATTATTATTATTATTATTATTATACAATTTAAATAAATATATGTTCACGGGCTTCCTAAGCTTGTGAGCACTACTCAATAATCACATGCTCCGTTGCTAATTACCATCATAGACTCATAGTACTAGGCAATCGGCTTATGAGCCCCGTCGACGGGCACAAACACCCTGTTGCCTAGTACCGTGAAGAGACAATGGGGGTAACGAGACTGAGAGATGGGATTGTTGAACCTGTCTACATAGTCTTGTTTTATTATTATTATTATTATTATTATTATTATTATTATTATTATTATTATTATTATTATTTGGATGTGTTTTGGAGAAAATAATTTATTTTTTAAGAGATAATAAAAAAAGCTCTTTGACCAGCTTTTTGAATTTTAGCGTTTTGGAGCAATAAGTTGTTACAAAAAAACTGATTAATCAAACACTCATATTGGTTGTTTGACTTGGTCAAACAGCTAATAGTGGTCAAACAAGCCAAAATTAACTGATAAGCTATATACCAAACAGGGCCTTGTGCCGTTGCGCACCGAGTGTAACTTATGGATTGACGGGACAACGCGCAATTTACCTCTTCTAGTGGCTTTTGGGCATGGCTCTGAGGACTTAAGATTAATCTAACGTAAATTGAATACGTTATATATATATATATATATATATATATATATATATATATATATATATATATATATATATATATATATATATATATATATATATATATATATATAATTAAAAAAGAAGAGTTAATTCCGTTTTTAGTCATAAATTTATAGGTGGCAGTGAACTTTTAGTCCCATTTTATCATAACATTCGCCTTTAGTCTTAGTATTATTGTGACATGACCATTTTGGTCATCCGTCAACAAAATCGTTGAAATGTCAATAAATACAAGGACATTCCGTTCTTCAATTTTAGATTTTTAAAAAATATAGACAAAAAATATAATGGGTTAACTCGTTTTGTATGGAAAAAGATCAAAATGTCAGTGTATTTAATGACATTTCAATGATTTTGTTGATAGAGGACCAAGAATGGTCATGTCACAATAATACTATGACCAAATTTGGATATTTTGATTAAAAATGTACCAATTGTTATACCGTGCACCAGGGCGCACATAGCAATGTGAGCCCCGCGCCTAGGAGTGTGCATTCGGACGGATCGGGTGACGGTTAGGCTAATCTGATCGGATTTCGAATATGTATTTTGACTACCCTATCCGTTTAAAATTGTTGACTTATCCGGTCGATTATATCATTGTTCGGTTTGGATCGGGTTGGTCGGATATCCGATATTATTTCGGTTATTAACAATTGTTGAAATCAAATAAAAAATTCATAAATTAAAATCAAAAGCAAAATAATAAGTAACTGAAAATCTGAAATATTGAATAAATAAGTAAATAATTAATAGAATGATAGTGTAATAGACTAATACCTGTAATACTAAGTTACTAAGTTAGTAATTAGTATTACTAAGTAGTCTATTAACTAACATTAAAAGTCTTAACTCTTTAGTGGCTAAGAGTCTAAGACTCCAAAAAAACTACAGTGGCTAAGAGTCTAAGACTACAAAAAAACTACAGAAGTACATACTAGCTAGTATAGTACATACAAATTTACATACTACATACACAACTGTTTAAACTTTAAACTGAAGCACCACAAATACAAATTCATCCAAAATCAGCAACTCAGCAACTCCTAGACTTTTAGAATTCAGACAATTAGACCTATTCTTCTTCCTGTGAATTGTGACAAGTTAGTGTAAATAATTAGTACACAAGCAAGTAAGCAAGTAAAGCAACTGAGCAAACATTAGAAAATGAAAAACAGAGAAGGGATTATATAAATATTGGCTTAGTAAGCATTTTTTTCCATATCATTTGGATTAAGGGCCTATTGCTTCAATATACCTTAAGTATAGAGCAACTGACCAACTTAATCCTTTCCTTTTTAGATTAAATGTGGAAGCTTGATCATTGCCAAACTTGCCAACTTAAAGTGAACAGACAGAATAAAATAGTCCATACATTACCAAATTCCCAAGGTACTTGAGGCAGCAACTTAGTACAAGTTACCAGGCCTTCATACTTACAGAGTTTGAGACTTACAGATGTCCAGTGTAATTGAGTCAAACACAGTGGGCTCAAAAAATAGTAAGTGAGATTAGATTGCAATTTAGTTAAACAGTCAAATACTGTAAAAGATTGCAATAAAATCAAGTAAGTAAATCAAGTAATGTAAATAATAACATTACAGGAATTGTAGCAAGTGTAGAACCAAGAGACCTTCCACTTCCACCATCACCACTTAACTCTGCAAAATAAACAACAAAAGTTAAGTGTATTAACAATTTAAGCAATTTAAAATATAAGTATAAAGGATTATAAAGTTAAAACTAAAAAGTTATACCTTTTTCAAACCTCTCCAACTCTTCCAGATTCTCCTCAATACATAAAGGAGTATTTTGCATTCTAAGCCAATCTTGTGTACACACCAATGCTTCCACAATTTTTGGAGTTAAAGAACTCCTAAAAGGATCCAATACTCTTCCAGAAGTACTGAAGGCAGATTCTGAGGCTACAGTGGAGATTGGAATGGCTAGGACATCCCTAGCAAGCTTAGACAGAACTGGAAACCTAGCAGAGTTGATCTTCCACCATCCAAGTATATCAAAAGATTCTTCCTCTTCAACTATTCCCTAACTCAAGTACATATCCAACTCAGTTTGTTTCTTACCCCCAGACTCCAATCTTTGCTTTTTAATTTGGGACTTCAGAAAATCTTGTGGCTTCCCAACAGAAACAGAAGAGGCAGATGTAGGCTGTACAGACACAGGCACAGAAGGGACAGAAGAAGAGGCATATGTAGAATAATCATCAAATAACTCAGCAAGACCAGCAACTACTTTGTCATAGAATGGTTTACCCTTTTCCTCACCATACATATGATTAAACTGAGTAGGCATATACTCTAACTTGTCTCTAGGGTCTAGAATGTTTGCAAAAAATATCATTAGATTCATTTTTTCAACATCACCCCAATACTTCTCAAATTTTGCCTTCATATTTTTTCCCATCACACCAACTGGCCCACCAACTTCCACCATGCCTTTCAATAGGCAGTAAAGATCAGAAATCTCAGTAAAAAATGTGTTTGAGGTGACATATAAAGAACCAGAAATTCTAATGGTCATGTCATAAAAACACTTCAGTAACTGAACCAGACTGCCAACAGATTCCCAGTCCATAAAATCAGGAATTGAATTACCCAAATCAGACTTGAAAGAGCAATCTGACTCCAAAGATTCAAACACTTTTTGGTAAGTTAATGCAGACTGCAACATCAAATAGGTAGAGTTCCATCTGGTTGGAACATCTAAACACAAAGAAGACCTTTGTTTAATACTCAACCAATCAGCCAAATCCCTGAACTTCTTGAGTCTAGCAGGAGAGTTTCTAACATATCTAACCACCTCCCTAACCTTCTTAACTGAACTATCACAATCCTTAAGACCATCTTGAACTACTAGGTTTAAGATATGGGCAATACATCTCATGTGAAGATACTTTGCCCTCACAGTAGATGATCCCCAAGACACCAATTTTTTCTTTAGAAACCCCATAGCAGTGTCATTTGATGAGGCATTATCAACAGTCACAGAAAACACATCTCTAAGTCCCCACTCAAGCAAACAATTTTATAGGGCTTTGGCTAGATATTCACCTTTGTGAGAGGTAACAGGGACAAATGCAAGGATTTTCTTATGAAGCTTCCACTCAGAATCAATGAAATGGGCAGTAACTACCATGTAGTTAATTCTTTGGATGGATGTCCAAGAATCTGTAGTGATACTAACCCTATGACTACTTCCCCTTAAAAATGACTTCAATTTTAGTCTCTCCTCATCATAGACAACTAGGATGTCCCTACTTATAGTCCACCTGGATGGAACTATAAACCTAGGGAAAGCAATAGCTATGAACATCTTGAAACCTATTCCCTCCACAAACCTAAAGGGCAATTCATTTATGATTATCATTTCAACCAAGGCCCTCCTTATTGACTCTTGATTAAAAACCCAAGTCCCTATTTCTCCCACAGTAGGCTGACCATCTGTAAGTGATGTAACAGCCTGAAATGTTAACAGGGACTGCCTAGTTTCCTTGGAGTGAGGATTTTTCAAACAGCTAACCATGTGATTTCTTAAGGAAGAAGTCCCATATTTTTTTGTCTCACAGTGGTAAATTTTGGCACAATAAATGCATTTGCCTTTTAGAACCACATTATTAGTGTCCTTTATTGTCTCAAAATGATCCCACACTGGTGATCTGGAAGCAACCTGTTTCCTCTTCTTGGCTGGAACAGCAGAAGGAGGTTGCTCATTTTGTTGATTCTCAACAGTTTGGGCTTCCACCCCTGAAGGTCCATCAATTGAGGAGTTGGGAGGTTGACTACCAGGCATACTGATATTATCCATCTAAAAATGGTGAACTATCAGTACACACAGCAGGATTCATAAGCATTCCAGAATCAGACACATTTTGTGTCATCATTAAACAGGAATGCATAATTAATTAAAGGGCATTATTCAATACAAAATTACAAATATACAAATACAATTAAGGGAATACATCCATAAACTTACAAAGAAATCCAGATTCAGGGATATATTTTAAATATCCAGATGAATCAGAGACTGTTATAACATAAAAACAGCTCATTTCATCAACATCATTATAAGAATTTCTATGGGGCTTCCACCAATTAAAGCCTTTAAGAGACATTATAAGTTTATAACACTCAAACAAGGGACAAGTGATATACAATCTGGAACTTCTCAACAGATTGACTTAATCACAGTCCACAATTCAAAGAATCATAGAAACCATAATCAAGTATCATAACATCACAAACAACTGAACAAGGGACAAGTGATATACAATCTGGAACTTCTCAACAGATTGACTTAATCACAGTCCACAATTCAAAGAATCATAGAAACCATAATCACACACAGTCAGTGCTTCCACCAGAAATCCAGAATGTCACACAACATATCACACATTCACAGATTCTGAAATCAATTTTATAACACTAGGGTTTTAATAAAAAGTCAGTGCTTCCACCACATTATCACAGAGACGCAAAATAGATCACAAATTCGCAATAAACTCAGAGCAATATGCCAATAACTTTAAGAAATAATTTTTACAAAACTAGGGTTTGCAGTAACAACTAACAAAGTCAGTGCTTCCACTACAATATCACAGAGACAACATAATACATCACAATAAATTTAAGAACTGCAAATATATAAAAATAGGGTCAGCGAGTTTACCCCGGAGAACGAGGGCTTCAGGCCTTCAGTTTACTGGAAGTCGACGACTCGACGACACCACTAGTCCACCACAGCACCACGTCCACGACCACCACAGCACCACTACACCAGTCAGGGCCTCAGGGCTTCCACAGTGACCAATGTTTCGTCGTCTATAACAGAACCAACCGGACAAGGAGAGTATAGACTACAAAGAAGGTAGTATTTGTCTAGTAGAGAAGAGAGAACTGAGGAGTGAGGACTAAAATCGCAAGGTGCGACTGCGCAGAGAACCAGAGAGAACTCAGAGTCTCAGAGAATGAGAGAAGAGAAGCTCTCGTCTGGAAACCCTAGCAAGAGAAGAGAATCAAGAGACTGACTGCGCAGATGTGAAGTTCTCCGTAACAACATATATATATACTAAGCCTAAACGACGTCGTATTGCTATCTACGTACGCAACCCTAATTTTAATCGGGTATTCGGACGGATCGGGTGTATTTTTTACCCACCCTACCCGAATGCCGTAAACCGACGTCGTTTTAGTTGTCGGTTCGGTTTTGCGAATCGGGTAGCGGTGCGGTTCGGTTTCTCTTGGTTGGTTCGCGGTTCGGGCGGTTTTTTCGGTTTGTTCGGATTCTGCTCAGCCTTACCCGCGCCTCGCAAAACAACGTCGTTTTGTTAAGTTGTGTGAGAAATTAACGCGACGAAAATGTATGTGTATTCAGTTATAAAATTCCCTGTTTTCAGGTATAAAATTCTGTTCATTCAATACAGGGGATTTTATCATTTTAAAAAAGATTATATGTTTTTATGTATAAAATTATGTGTTTTCAGGTATAAAATTTTGTGTTTTCAGGTATACAATTCTGTGTTTTCTATTATATAATTCTGTACATTCGAAACATGGAAATTTTCAGTTATAAAAATTATGTGTTTTCAGGTATAAAATTCTGTATTTTCAAGTATAAAATTCTATGTTTTCTATTATACAATTCTGTACATTCGAAACATTAATTTTTTTTATGGAGTTAACAGCAGACACGCGAAAAGGTACAAAACGACGTCGTTTTGGACCAGGGCGCACAATACATTTAGGTAGAGTTGTCAAAACGGGCCAGCCCGTCTCGAGTTCATTTAGAAACGGGTTAGGTTAATTTTTCTATAGCTTAGGAATCAATTTTTAAATTATGTTTCTAAGTTTTTTAAAATTTGTGAATACATTACAGGGTTATCACAAATTTTGAATTTTTAAAATGTAAGTTGTGTATCTTTGGACTTGGGTCTACCTTGAAATGTGGGCTTGGATCCACATAGGGCTTGTTTGGTTATCAACGGTTAGCGGTTAGCGGTAGCGGTTTATGTTAACGGTTATCAGATAACGGAGTGTATTAGCGGGGTTGACCAGCGGATTGCATTAGCGGTTTGTAAAAAAGTGTTTGGAGTTTGGTAAAATTAGCTGTTTAGATTAGCAGTTAACATGTAAAATGACCTATACATAATAATAATAATAATAATAATAATAATAATAATAATAATAATAATAATAATAATAATAATAAAATAAAAAAAAAAAAAAGGAAGAAGAAGAAGAAGGGAGCTCCCCTCTTCTTTTCCCACTTTTCCCAATCCCACATCCGTGGAAAAAGTGAGAGTGGATAGGAGCCTCAAGGCTCCACTTTGAACAAATAGTTGCCCATCTGGGTGGGTAACATTGAGGAGCCGTTAACGGCTCCTCAATTAAGTTAATTATTTATTTGTTTATATAAACAAGGGCGTTTTGGGGAAAATTTATTTTTTTCCAAAACGCCAACTGTAAACGCTGCACTTTGCAGCGTTTGCAAAAGCAGCGGCTTGGAGCGAATCGCTGCTTAACCAAACAACGTTTTTGGCGGTTTGACATGGTCAAGCCGTAAAAAACAACGAATCCGCCAGAAATGGCGGATTCGCTGTTAACCAAACATGGCCATAATAATTTGCCCTTAGGAATCAAACCCTCAACCTCTAGCTGAACAACTAAGTGAACTAACATTATTTCCAACCAAACACATTAAATTTTTTGAACAAATACCGTGTGTGTGTGTATGTATGTGTGTGTGTGTGTGTGTGTGTGTGTGTGTGTGTGTAAATGTAAGTTGTGAATCTCATAGATTAACTCATCTTTTTTTTAAAAAATCACCACATCCATAACAATGTACACTGGAAGGTCTATAAGGCATAACAATATGCACTAGAAGGCAAAAATATATATACTGTAAGCCACAAAATTATGCAACTATTGAAAATATTAAATTTAATACATGATCTTCAACACAGTTCATAAAAGATCATAATATTCAACTAAAATTAATAATTAGTGATTCATTCATGATCAAATACTCTTCATACATACATACATACATATATACACCATACATGTGTGCAACCCTAGATTTTACATTTCAAATTTCAAGAACAAAACGGCATCGTTTTGATTAATTTGTGTAGTCCAGCCATGTTCCCAAGAATCAAGAATTAAAAAAAAAAAAGGAATCAAGAATCTTGATCAAGAATCAAGATGACAAAAAAGTACAAGAAACAGGGTGATCCACTGATCCATAGATGAGAGATCATGAAACAGGGTGAAGAGTACTAGCTCTACATATGGGGCAAGTCTGTAACATTTTCCATGTTGTGGTGCAAGATTATTATGGCCTTAATGGCCATTAAGGAGTGCTAATGGTAACAGTTGTAACAGTTACCATAACAACTGTTACAAGCCTATATTGATGGTTAAAATAGGCTATATAAGCTAGGTCCCCCCACTACTCAAGAACTGTCATTCTGACAAAATATACACCATCTTATTGTACCTGAGATTAGTGGGAGACACTCTGCCACCCAAGTCATTGCAGCAAACAACAGCAACATCAAGGCAGTACTAAGAACTACTATGGCAGGAGGTTAGTTTATGTTTACTACTTCTTACATTTGGTATCAGAGCCTATTAATCTCTACCTAGCTGTTCAAACTGCCTATATTTGCAAAAGAATCATATTCAGCAAAATAAAGCAAATATTGATGTGTAGTGTTTGATTACAAATTCTATAATGTTGTTGTATATGTTTTTGGTTTTTTTTTTTTTAAAGAAATTTACATATGAAGATTTTTGGATATATGTTACTGTGTATGCATTTAGGAAAGTATATACAAAATCCATATGATATAGCTTCTTTCGAAAATACAAATGTAAAAATAAAATAAAATTTGAACCTGCTGTTGTGGAGAGTTTATCTTATCCGATTCCGATCAGACCGCTCGCCGGCGATCGTGTAACGGTTTTAGATGGTCGTCGGTGCGCCATTTTATCCGGTGACCGGCGTAGAGGACAGGTTGCGGTGGCGAAGCTGGTTCCCGACGATGTCGCTACTTCCCTTCCTCTGGATCTAGATCGGAAGTGGTGCGGCTGCGGGAGAAGGCGGATGGACTTTAGCATATTACGGTAGTACATACGGTTTAGTACATCTACGGTAGTGCCTGATGATTAACACATTAAGATCAAAAGTTCACCTATTCTTAAAGCCTTTTTCCAAACCGTGAACATCAAAGTTTTGAACAAACCATTCAAAACAGTTATGCTATGATATGAGAATGCATGAATCGGGAAAATTATCTTGGGAAGAAAACTAGAATAGCCAATATGCTACTAGTTCCTTGGAATCCTACTCTGTCTAAGGAGTCGGTATTTAACCAAGTTTTATCTCGACCAACTTTCCTGGGAGTATACTTGGTAATTGCTTATCATGTTGAGTGCATAGTTTGTTTCGTTAAATCTATGCCGATGTGATAATACAAATTTTGTTAATTAAAGAGTAGCCACAACATCCTTAATTTAATTAAAATTGTATATCAAGCTTTTTCAAATCACATAAAATTTAGGTATAAATTGTGATTAATTATATGTAATATAATGAAATTCAGCCCACAGGAAATTTTGTTATATTTGTATGGTTAATTAAGATAAAAATACCAAACTATGATCATAATTTAGCCCACAGGCAATTATGTATTGGCATATAGTCTTTGGTAGCTTTATCTTTGAGAATAGAAATTCAACCTTGTTCCCAACCCATTTCTATTCTAAAATTATCTAAGGTCCCTTTTGCGTAAAAATTTAGTCCACAGACAATTTTTATGGCATTTGGATCTTTGACATGCATCATTTACATTGGTAATGTATGCGATTCAGTTATTTCTATGCCTCAAAATTCTAATCCAAACCTTTACCTTTACAGCATCTCAATCCGTTACTCATACTAATTTGAACATAGAAGTTCCCGAACTTAGGGGTGACAACTACAAAATTTGGAAAGAAAGGGTTCTTCTCAGTTTAGGGTGGAAGGGCTTGGACTTTGCTATCCATAACGAGAAACCACCGGTCCCCGCTGAAGATAGTACCCAAGATGACATTGCACTATATGAGCGATGTAATAAGTCCAATCGGCTCAGTACAATGTACATCAAGGCGAAAATATCTGATGGGATTCAGGGTTCCGTTAGTGAAAAGCATAAGGATGTCCAAGCATTGCTCAAGTCTATTGACGACCAGTTCGTTACTTCAGAAAAGGCTTTAGCTAGCACCCTCATCATGAGATTCTCCTCTCTCCGTCTCACTTCCGTCAAAGGTGTGCGTGAGCACATCATGGAATTGCGGGACATTGTGGCTCAACTTAAGACTCTTGGGGTAGATATGTCGGATGATTTTGTTGTGTACTATGCTTTGTACATCCTACCATCACCGTATGGACCTTTTAAAATTTATTATAACACACATAAGGAAAAATGGTCCATAAATAATTTAATGACCATGTGTGTTCAAGAAGAAGGAAGGTTGGTAATGGAAATGGGAGAAAGTGCCATGCTGGCTACGACACACGAGAAGTCTAAATCTGGCAAATCTCGAGGTTCCACTTCTAAGGCTAAAGGGAAAGGAAAACTTTCACAAAGAAGGTGCATAAGTGTTTCTTCTGTAAAAAGAAGGGGCACATGAAGAAAGATTGCATCAAGTATAAAAAGTGGATCGAGAAGAAAGGTATTCTATCCTCATTCGTTTGTTATGAATCCAATATATCTGAAGTTAACACTAATACTTGGTGGATTGATTCTGGTTCAACAATCCACATTGCAAACTCTTTACCGGGAATGCAGGATCTAAGGAAGCCGGTGGGAAGTGAACGAACCATCTTATCATGAAACAAGATGGGGTCACAAGTGTAAGCCATTGGAACATGCAAGCTTATTTTAAGTAGTGGCTTTGTTTTGATTTTAAATAAGACATTTTATGTACCAAGTTTCTCCCGGAACTTGATATCTGTTTCTAGACTTGTGTCGTTGGGTTTTTCCTTTAATTTTCGAGACAAGTGTTTTGATATTTTCAATAAATCAACTTGTGTTGGATACGGTACATTGTCTGATGGTCTTTATCGTTTACATTTACAAAACAATGCCACTTATAGCTCATTGCATGTTAACTCTGGTTCCAAAAGATCGAGTGTTGGTGAGAACTCCTCCATGTTATGACATCGGAGATTAGGTCATATCTCCCTTGAACGTATAAAGAGATTAGTAAATGATGGGGTACTTAGTACTCTTGATTATACTGATTTCGAGACTTGTATAGACTGCATTAAGGGAAAGCAGACGAACAAGTCTAAGAAAGGTGCCAAAAGGAGTTCAAGTATATTGGAAATCATACATACTGACATTTGCTGTCCAGATATGGATATGCCAGGTCAAAAGTATTTCATCACCTTCATTGATGATTACTCACGATTTACTTATGTGTATTTGTTTCATAATAAGAATGAAGCGTTGGATGCCTTCAAGTCTTTTAAGGCTGAAGTTGAGAACCAATGTGGGAAACAAATACAGATAGTAAGATCCGACAGAGGTGGTGAATACTATAGTAGGTACACTGAAAGTAAGCACCTGGTCTGTTTACTAAGTTTCTTCAAGAACATGGGATTGTTGCCCAATACACCATGCCTGGTTCTCCGGACCAAAATGGTGTTGCTGAAAGAAGAAACTGCACGCTTATTAACATGGTGCGGAGTATGCTTAGCAACTCAAAACTTCCTAAGTTTTTTGTGGGCCGAAGCACTTAAGATGGCTACGTATATATTAAACCGTGTTCCAACCAAGGTTGTCCCAAAGACGCCATTTGAGTTATTTAAAGGTTGGAAACCGAGTTTGCAACATATGCGTGGTTGGGGATGCCCGTCTGAGGTGCGGATATATAACCCACAAGAAAAGAAGTTGGACCCGAGGACTATTAGTGGTTTCTTTATTGGATACGCACAGTCCTCCCAAAGGGATACAGATTTTATTGTCCATCTAATTCAACTAGGATTGCGGAATCAAGAAATGCTAAGTTTCTTGAAGATGACATGATTAGTGGGAGGGATCGGTTCAATGATTTGATTTCTAATCATGATCATACTGAATCATGTCCTTCTACGTCATCAGATAGGTTGATAATAGTTTCAAACACCCCTCAAGTTCAAACGAGTATTGAATAACCTATTGAAGAAGTTCCACAAAATGCTGATATTATATTATTCCAATAGATCAACCAATTCAGGAAATTCCTGAAGCGGTAGTTGAACCGCTAACTTCTCAAGAAGATGGTAGTTCAACTTTAAGGCGATCTACTCGCGAAAAAAGACCGGCAATTCCTAGTGATTATATAGTGTATCTGCAAGAGTCTGTTGTTGGAGTCGAAAATGATCTAGAAACATTTTCACAAGCCATAAACTGTAAAGAATCATATTTATGGTATGAAGCCATGAAGGAAGAAATGAGTTCCATGCGAAGCAATAGGGTTTGGGACCTTGTTGAGTTGCCTAATGGGGCCAAGGCCATTGGCTGTAAATGAGTCTATAAGACTAAAAAGGACTCATTAGGCAACATCGAGCGATACAAGGCTGGGCTCGTTGCTAAAGGATTTACTCAAAAGGAATGAATCGACTACACGGAGACATTTTCTCCTGTGTCAAAGAAAGATTCACTTCTTATAATTTTGACTTTGGTTGCACATTTCAATTTTGAATTGCAACAAATGGATGTGAAAACAGCATTCCTTAATGGTGATCTAGAAGAGGTGGTTTATATGAAACAACCTGAAGGATTCTCTTCTAGTGAAGGTGAGCATTTGGTTTGCAAGCTCAAAAAGTCCATCTATGGTTTAAAACAAGCTTCCCGCCAATGGTATATCAAATTTGATGGGGTCATTTCTTCATATGGATTTGTTGAAAGTCCCTTAGATCATTACATATACCTAGGGGTGACCACGGTTCCGGTTCCGGTTCCGTGGATGGTGAAACCGGAATCGGAGCCTTATAGTAAGGTTCCGGTTCCGGTTGGAACCGCCGGTTCTAACCGGAATTATTAAAAAAAATTAAAAAAAAACACTAAAATATTTGTTTTTTTTTTCGGTTTGGAACCGGAACCGGAACCGGCGGTTCCGGTTCCAAGATTTTACAAACCTTAACCGAAACCGGAACCGTACGGACGGTTCCGGTTTACATAGTCCCGATTCCGGTTCGAACCGGAACCGTGGTCATCCCTACATATACCAGAAGACAAGTAGGAGTAAAATTTGTTTTCTTGTTTTATATGTGGATGATATTCTACTTGCAACAAATGATAAGGGAATGCTGCACGAGGTTAAGCAATTCCTTTCTAAGAACTTTGATATGAAAGATATGGGCGAGGCATCTTATGTGTAACACCCCCGATTTTTCAACAATTTTCAAACTTAATTTCAAAGGTAAGCATCTAATCATCAAGATAAACAACAGTGAAAACTTAATTAAAAACCGGAGAGATGTTATGCCACACCTATCTCAAACATAGGTGCACAGGTGGAAAACTATCAAGTCATCAAACAGTAAACGTCTAGGCACACAGGCCACTAGTCTAGGCACACAGGCCGTTAATCTAGGCACACAGGCCAACAAAAGGTAACGTCTAAACATGGTAGCTACTCTATCTAGCGTCCACATATAGCGCGCTCGGCATCTACTCAAAACCTGTAAAACATGGGGATAACACCCGGTCAGCGAATATTGCTGGTAACCCATCAATACACGTTAAATAACATATATATATGGATATAATCAAAACCATTTGGAACGGGAATACAAAATATATCATTTTAAAACCAAAGAGAAAATTCAACACTAGGCTGGACATGTCGGATGCTTCAGTTGTCGGATGCCTCGGGTATGTTCAAATCTGTACTAGGCCGGACATCGCCTTTGCTGTTGGAATGCTGGGACGATATCAAAGTGATCCGGGTTTAGAACACTGGAGAGCTGCAAAGAAGGTTTTAAGGTATCTCAAGGGTACCAAGGATTATAAGCTTGTGTTCAAACAGATGGACGTTTTGGATATTGGTTGATATTATGATTCGGACTTTGTCGGTTGTGTTGATTCTCGAAAATCAACTTCGGGGAACATTTTTATCATGGCCGGTGGAGCTGTTTCATGGAGAAGTGGTAAACAAACTCCTGTCACCACTTCAACCATGGAAGCCGAGTTTGTTTCATGTTTTGAGGCTACATCTCAAGGTGTATGGCTTAAGAATTTCATTTCGGGGCTTAGAGTTATGGACTCTATTTCTAAGCCATTAAATGTTTATTGTGACAACTCAGCTGCAGTCTTCCTGGCTAAGAACAATAAGAGTGGGAGTCGAAGTAAGCATATCGACACCAAGTACTTGGCCATCAGGGAGCGTGTTAAAGATAAGAAAGTGGTCATTGAGCATATAAGCACTGAGTTGATGATTGTTGATCCCTTAACTAAAGGCATGCCACCATTCAAGTTTAGGGATTTTGTTGAGAAAATGAGACTTGCGCCCACTTTGTAAAAAAAAAAAAAAAACATGTATGCATATAGTTATTTTATGAAATTCTTAAAGCATTCAGATATTATCTCGTTATTGTATTGTGCACATTTTGTTGAGAAAATATATATCTTTTGGACTTGGAATAAACATAAGGTTTATCCATTAAGTTTTGGTTAAGCACATAAAGTACTTAGAGAACAAGTTGCATTGTGATTATAGTATATACTACTCGTTTTCAGAGGACATATCTCTATAGTTCATGTATTTTGTTTCTTTAAGTCTGTTCTTACACCAAGTGGGAGAATGTAACATTTTCCATGTTGTGGTGCAAGATTATTATGGCCTTAATGACCATTAAGGAGTGCTAATGGTAACAGTTGTAACGGTTACCGTTACAACTGTTACAAAGCCTATATTGATGGTTAAAATAGGCTATATAAGCTAGGTCCCCCCACTACCCAAGTACTTTCATTCTGAAAAAAATACACCATCTTATTATACCTGGGATCAGTGGGAGACACTCTGCCGCCCAAGTCACAGCAGCAAACAACAGCAACATTAAGGCAGTACTAAGAACTACTATGTCTGGAGGTTAGTTTATGTTTACTACTTCTTACACCAACCAAATAGCAATGCAATCTAAATGAAATTTATGGTTGCATGGGCAGAGAACGGTAAAGATGTCGCCTTTCTGGAAACCGGTGATACAAATAACGCATTCATTCTCTCTCTCCTCTCGCTTTACGCTCTGTTCTTGGAAGCTTTTAATGTTTAACCTTACTTCTGGGACTACTTGTGCTTCCACATTAACATTGTTGCCGCCTGTGCTCCCTCCCGCCGCCGCAGTTGGAGGTGGTGTGCTGACGGAACACCACCTTACACATGCATACCCCAAACAAACTCCTACCAGTGCAATGAGGAAATAAAAAAGACCCACATCCATGTGTAGCAGAACAGATGTTAGAATACGTGTGTGTTATATTTGGAACTTGGAAGAAGAAAACAATAATAAAATACTCTACTCATTCGTGAATATATATAGAATAATATTAGTAATAGGATTAGGAAACTAATAATGGGAATAGGAAACAATCTAAGAAACAGGGCTCTAATAATAATAATGACAGCTTAAATAAAAATAATAATAAGGGAAAAGAGATGGAAATTATGACCGTTACCTCGCTCTCGGAGAAGCTTCCAGAACACGAATTGCCGACGACCTCCACTGAAGAATTGAAGAAGGTTGGAGACTCCTCCACTGTTGATATGGTACCAGAATCAACAGTTGAGTTGAGACCGGAATCCATGGCAGTCGACGAAGCAGAAATCGAGTTGGGAATGAAAAAATCTGGTGACCCATCCGGTAATCCTCTACGTGTTAGCTCTGCCAAGGAAGGAAAGACCCTCGTATATGCAATCCCTCACCGGGGAGACAAGGGATTCGGGAAATGGTGTGACAGAGGAGAAGGAATTCGACTCTAAGACGAGGAATTGAAGAGGATAGAGACTGCCCTACTATCTATCTGCATGTCTAGTGTCTAGGGCTGAGAAAAAGCTCCTTCAATTCGAGCACCATCACCATGGAAGCAAACTCTAAACTTCAAACTTTGTGGAAACCTGCTACTACGAAGATGGACCTCGTGGCCAAATTCAAACTTCGGAACTGTGTTAGTAGGATAGAATATGAGGGCGTGTGTTTCGGTTGTGGTAGGTATGGAAAGAAAGAATACGAACAAGGGAGTGGAAGCAGATAAAGAGGAAGAATTCTTTGAGATTGAATGGAATTTCAGAAAAGCTATGGTTACTGGATGCTTGCTCAGAGAAGATATGTTAATAACAATCGCAAAACTAACTCTGGGAAAAAGGTTCAAGGAAATGCTGTTAATAATTCGATCGTCTAGAAGAATCAAACTACCCTAATGTATTATTATTATTATGCAATCACATATACTATCAACACATTTAAGTATGTATATATATATATATATATATATATATATATATATATAGATTTTGAATCTGGTGCACCCCCTTAATTAGATGTGTTTGTGAGCTTTAATCTTGATCGTTTGTTTTCATTTTTTAACGGCGCAGATGTTATTCATTTTTTTGTCATGTGTCTGATTTTTTTGTTAAGTTAGGGGTAGTTTTGTCTTTTGTGTCGGGTCTTATTATGTCAAGTCCTTAATTCGCGTGAATTGGGGTCGTGTCACAAGTCAATTTAAGAGTCTTGCACGTTCTCTCTCACTTTGCCGCAGTTACAAAGGTTGTAGCTTCATCGTTTAGGTTCATCTTCATTCGCGTAGTCTGGGGGCGTCCTCGCTTCTGTGTCGATTTTGCGGTGCTTGTATCGGTGTTGTTCATGGCAGGGTCGAGCTCGAGGAGTTCTAAGCGACTTAGAGGGTTTGCGCCCAATCCCATTCCAGATTTTAAGTTTTTGTGTCCTATTTTTTACTTTGATCGTATGGTTTTTAATCTTTTTGCATTTATCTTTTGTGTTTATGGGTTGTGTAGTAGTATCGTGTCTGGTGTGCGTGTGTTGGGTCACTGATTTGGGTTTTGTTTGGAGTTTCGGGTTGGGGTTAGGGTTGCTCGTTTTTTATTTTTATTTTTGTTAATTTCTAGTGTGGGCTTGGTGGGTTTCTGATTTGGGTATTGTATGGGGTTCTTGGTTGGTAGTTTTTCTGTCGGTATGAGAGGTTGGGGGAATTTGTAATGAGGGGCTGGTGTTTCTCTGGGGTGAATGGGGGGGAGTGGGTGTATGATTTTTTGGGGTTTCAGACCACCCATCCTAGGGTTGGATGGCTGGATGGCTGGGTCTTTGCATGTGCCGGTGGGCAGTGTGTATTTAGTCGTTTGTTGGGGTTTTTGGGGTGGCGTTGGTGGCCTGAGTTTTGATGCTCATGGCTGGAGGGTGGGGGTTGCGGTGTTGTAAATTTTTGGCCGGAGCTATGGTAGCTCGATTTTTATTTCTTTCTTTATTTTTTTAGTTTATGGCAGTGCGGTGGTGTTATACTGCTTGTTTTTGCAGGTTCTATATGTGGGAGATTGAAAAGTGTTTTTTTGTTCGTGTGTGCTTTTGTCTTGGGGTTTGTCATATATGGTAATGTATGTAGGGGGTGGGATTCGTGGTATGTAGGTTCATAGTTTTATTCATTTATCCTCTTTTTTTTTTTTTTTTTTCTGTGCTCACTTTTGAGCCTGTTACTTTATACAATTTGGTGTGATATATTGGTTTCAGCTATAGTCTTATGATCTGTCATTACTTTCAGGCCTAGGAAGTTAGTCTTGCAATGGATGCCTCCAGAAAATCAAGAGCTGCTTTTGCAGCTGCTGATCCAAGAAAAGGAGAGGCCCTGTGCAAAGAGGGTATGCTATCCGTTCGAAAAGCCCTGGATTTCAACTTCCAGGATGTGGATGGGTTTCTGCATCTTGTCCGCATCACAATGAAAGCAATATAATATAGGCATATAGCGCTGAAATGTAAGCATGCAAAACATGTTTTTGCTCCCCTCTGTTGATACAGTGGAAGCAGATAGATTGGATCATTTAGAAAGAGATTTACCAGGATGACTGAAATTCAAATATGAGAGTCATTCATTTTTTGACCCTGTATGTATAGTAATAGCTGAATTCTATTAAGATATTCTTTAATGCCTCCTCGGGTTTCTTCTAAATAACTAAAGATCTTCGATCGAAGAGGTAGTGGTTTGAGTCCCATACCATTGCGAACTCATTATTTGATTACTGATCCTGGTAACCCGTTTCTCCAACCATGAGTCATAAGCATCCGGATTGAGTTTTAGGCTCTCAGGTAACTTCCTATTTTGTAGTTTATTATCTAACTAACTTTTTCTTACTTCTCTATTACTAACATTTATAATTTACCAGGTCATATTGTACAGTTTATGCTTTGCAATTGAGACTATTGATAGATTGTTTTTTACATAAAGACGGAAAAATGACTAAATACATACAGCTCTAAAATGCAAAATCAGCAGTTGTTCTGGTGTATGGCTTTGCAAGCCTCCACCTTTCCACCTTTGCCTTGTCACTTTTTTAGCATTTTTTTATGATCTGCAAATGATTCTGCAAAACCTCATATTTGATCTTGGTGTTTGCGTAGGTTCGGGATGACGATCTTAAGCTGTGAGTCGCCATCTAACGCTATAGATTTCAAAACTCTGGCGGATTGAATCTTCGAGCTCAAGCTCCCTTTCTGAAGAAGCAGAACGAATCGCGACAGATAATCGGTATCGCTTTTCAAAATCAACCTATTCAATTCCTCAAATCACCTGATCTGATCTGTTAGTTCTATCTTGTTTAGTTTTTCAGTTTTAATTTTGTTGTTGCTTCCTACATTTCAAGCTTGAACCCTGCAGAATGATATTCATAAGCTCTAGAAGTGAACAGTGCTCTAAATGCTCTCTAAAATCTGAATTCTCAACAACAAGTAGTCAATAATATGCAGTGTAGATTCATTTCATTTTAGAGGGTATAATTCTATCCTATGAAGAATGCAGCATCCAATCTCCATCCTTTTCCACATAACTTTTATTCTAAGTGCACTTTGTCGGTTATATACTTCATGTTTGTTTTACTTGTTTATTTTAAAATTTAATCTCACGTTGGGGTGTGCATTGTTGTGATATGGTTGTCCATTAATTCATCTTGTTTTTTTTTTTTTTTTTAAAGGTACATACATCTATATAAACCGTATTGTTTTTTGTTTTTTTGTTTAATATTCTTGTTGGTAGAATATACAACACATGGTCTTTGCGTCAGTTTAGACAGTTTTGTTTTTGTTATTTGGTATGTGCAGTGTAATGTTATGGCGTGTGCGAATTACCATGCTGGGATTTTTTTTTTTTTTTAACAATAAGTGGTTTTGTTTGGGTGACTTCTTTTATGAAAGTACATATCTCTTCTTTTTGTGTGTATGTTTATGTCTAGCACTATTTTTGTCTGTCTGTGCGTAAAGCTTGACATTGTTTTAGGGAACACTTCTGAGGTCATTGAAGCCCCCCTTGGTGTAGCGTCGCCTGATGCCCAAGTAGACCTGCCAGCTCCCACCGTCCTCATGCTCAAGGAGATCCGACTTTGGATGCCTGATGAAGATATCTTCCCAACTATGAAGACTCGTGCATCCCCAAAGCATTTAGTTGTCCAAATAAAGCGCTTTAATGCATGCCAAAGGAAAGCTGTGAATGTAATTGGGTTAGGGAAAAAAAAAAATCAAGGCCAAGTTCTTGTATAATCTTTTTTAATTAAATAAAAACAACCTCATGAATGCGCACAGATATCTAATTACAGTTTTGATCAAAATTCTAAACAGAACACACTTGCATTGACTCCAATATTGTATTACGACACGCCGTACCACAGTTATGCTAAGTCCACAATCGAAATCACACGCCAACAATCTTCTGCATTCTTTTACTAAAATTCTACCAAAAGAAAAACGCCAATGATTCATGCGTACTCTGATTACCAATTATTTTACACCATATCACATGCCAAAATAAAAGAAGAAAAAAAATATAATACCATAGTTATGCCAAGTCCGACTTACAATAACATGCTCACGCTGTTGTACATATATGCACACACCACCGTAAATTTCAACACTGGTGCACCACAAATCAAATGATTACTACTCTAACAATCATTTTCTTTATGAACAAAAAAAAAAAAAAACATGAATTCACACACATACCTAACAATTATTTTGGCTAACAAGTACAACTAAAAAAAAAAAAAAAACGAACACCCCATCCTTAAGAGTTGCACACACTATAGCACATATACGCACACACCTCCGTAAATTACGAACTATGGTGCACCAAAAACCACACGAATGCACACACCATGCTTACTAATGCACACACCTGCGTCCAACCCACTTGCCTTCCGCTTTTTAAATTATTCTTTCTTTAAAAAAAAAAAGAATAACCATCATGTGTTCACGCTTACAAAACATAACAATTTTTCAAAAAACACCAACAAAAAATATTAACATCATAGAAAGTTAGTGGTTCATGTAGTTACACACGCCATTGCTTACTAATGAAAATAATAATTTTTTTTTAAAAATAAAAAGTCCAAAAAAAAAAAATCAAAGCCCGCAACCGTACAATTTGCACACGCCATTGCACATACACGCACACACCAACGAATACCCATGTTCCTTCGGCTTGTTGCATTCTTTTTTCTTTTAAAAAAAAAAAACTACACGTACTACTCTTACAATCTTCTTCTTTAAAACCAACCCATATACATAAATTCACGCACACACATATAAACTATTTTCGTAAAATTACAAAAAAAAAAAAATACTCATCCATACGATTTGCACACACCATACTACATACACGCACACACTATCGTACATAATCAACTAAAAATATCAGCTGTCAATACAAATTATTACTAGTTATTACCTTTAATATTCTACCTAATATTATGCTCAAGATTACAATTTAATACTAACCAAAAATAAACTCAATACTAGAATTACTTTTTAATCCTTATGTTTTAAAAACGTCCTTAATTAGTTTAAAAAAATCTTTCAATCTCAACCATCCATGAAAAATGAATCAATGGATATTATGAGATCTCATGATCTCATGTATCATAGGGGTTGCACCGGATTCGAAGCCTATATATATATATATATATATATATATATATATATAATATCAACAATGAGACATGAATAATTATACATTTCCAATTTTTAAAAATGAGGACAATCACCCAATACAAAAAGTCAATTACCAAACACATTTTTTAGCTGACTAGGTCAATCAACTAAAATTGATCAAGCCAGAGAAGCTCTATCATGGATCAAAACTCGTACATCCACAACGTACATAATGGAGTCAAATTGTTTGAACTTTTTGTAATAATTTTAATTCCGTTAGTCAAGACTTTTGGTATGTTGGTTTGATTATTGAACAATGTCGTGTTATTGCTAGAGGCATTAGGAACGTTTTGGTTCGCTATGTCAAAAGGTTAGCGAATTACGTAGCTCATGTGCTTGCACAGACTGCTGGTTCTTCTTCTGTCCTTGGGGTGTGGGATTCTCACCCGCCCAGTTGTATTTCGGCTTTGATTTAATATATTCCTTTTCCTTCAAAAGAAAAAGTTAAAAATGACTAATAAGCCAGTAACCACACATCCCCGTTACTTTAGAAGTAAATAGATGGTTAAAAGTTAAAAATGTCAATTGCAAGAATTTTGGATGTACTGACTAAACCCGTCTTGTGACTCTAAACAACAAAGAATCATAAAGAGGTAAACCAACCTAGGTTACTAATAGTTAAATTTGTAATATTGTGATTACCAAGTTAATAGTCTAACCAAGTTGAACGGGTTGCTTTATCTTGCAACTATTCTTATTCTTATTTTTGGATGTAGAAGTCAATTTTGATTTTTACCAATTTAGTACTTTTTTTTTAAAATATATTATTTTAATTCAAAATATCTACTATACTAATAAGAGCCCAAGAGAGTTAGGCTATAATAGGTAGAAAAAATGGCGGTCAAATTTTTTAATCAAATGAATGACTCAGATTGATCAGATTTTAATTTTTCCTTAAGATTTCCTAATTTATCCTTAATGAATATGATTATCCGTTAACTTTTCCGTTAAATATTATCTTTTCCGTTAATTTCTGTTAGTTCACCGTTAACTTACTCATTGATTTCAATAAGAAAGGTCTTAGGTTCGAACCACATCCCAATCAAAGTTGGCATAATTAGTACTCTATTTTACTCTTATTAAATTAAATAATAATTTAATAGCTACAACAAAAAATAATACATATGCAATTCTTTAATTTAAAATTATGTGTTTACAATGTATTTATTCGAAAAAAATTATTCATTATCAATAAATTAAATAAGAGAAATAATTTCATTAGTTATATTGTATTTATTTTTCTCCAATATAAAAATTCTTTACATTCAAATTCATCAATTGATTATATTCGCTACATTGTCCCTACAATGGCCCTGTTTGGTAAAATGGTTGTTAGCTGATAGCTGTTAGCTGTTAGGTGATTGTGTTAATTAGAGGGTATAAATAGTTAATAACATTAGCTGATTTTAGAAAAGTGTTTGCTAAATTAGCTGTTTACTGATAGCTGTTTGGTATAATTTCTTTTCTCAAAAAGCTAATTGAAAAAGTTGTTTGGAGTACCTTTTTTAATTTTAGCCTTTTGGAGTTGCAAAAAGCTAATTAACCAAACATCTATATTGATATTTTAACTAAATCAAACAATTAATAATGGTCAAATAAGACAAAATTGACCTATAGGCCAATTTTTTACCAAACAGGGCCAATGTCTTTATTAAAAAAAATTATTCATTATCAATAAATTAATTAAGAGAAATAATTTTATTAGTTATATTGACTTTATATTTCTCCAATGTAAAAATTCTTTACATTCAAATTCATCAATTGATTATATTCACTACATTGTCTATTATCTTTTTGGTGCACTATTTTTTAATTAAATATCAAAGTTATAATACAAAATAATGCTATATATTTATTTACCAAGTATTTTATTAATACTATGAAAAAGTTTAAAAAATATAATTAATAAAGCCAATCATATTAATTACTTGAGGGGTTTGTTGACAAAGAGAGTATTCAAATCACACAACAAATTGAAGTGAGAACTACCTCGCAATGTCCTTGTTTGACAATCAGCAGTTAACGGATTATAGGGAAAAGTGTCAAATTGACCCCCTAAGTCGACCGGATAGTGCAATTGGATCCCTTAACTAAAAAAAGCTTCATTCAGATCCCCTAAACCTGTAAAATTGTTCAATTAAGTCCAAAGTGACTTGTTTAACAAGTTAAATCTTCACATTGTTGACACATGTCATTTTAAAATATTTTTTTCTTTTTTTTTTAAATTTTATTTATTAAAATATATATTATATATATAAAAAAAATAAAATAAAATAATAAAAAAACACAGCCACCTAAACAACTTTGTGTGTTTTTTCTTTGTATGTTTTTTTGTTTTTTTTTTTAAATTTTATTTTTATATATAATATATTTTTAATAAATAAATAAATAAAATTAAAAAACAAAACAAAAAGAAAAGTATTTTAAAATGACACGTGGCAACAATGTGAAGACTTAACCCGTTAAACTAGTCACTTTGGACTTAATTGAACAATTTTACAGGTTTAAGGGATCTAAATGAAGTTTTTTTTAGTTAGAGGACTCAATTGCACTATCTGGTCGACTTAGGAGGCCAATTTGACACTTTTTTCGCGGATTATATTAGCGAATTTGACCAGCAAATTATATCAATGATTGGTAAAAAGATATTTGAAAAAAGTTGTTTAGATTAACATGTAAAATGATCTAAATGTATACATATATTTAATAATAATAATAATAATTGTTTTAAAAAAAATAAAAAATATATAATTAAGACATTAACTACTTGGGGTTTATTGACAAAAAGAGTATTAAAATCAGACAACAAATTGAAGTGGGAAACTATCTCGCAATATCTTTGTTTAACAATCAACAGTTAGTTCTTCAATATTAGTATATATTTAATATTTTATGCCCTAATATTTATTTGTTCTCCCTTATGCCCTGTATTTAGTTTCAACCTTACTTATACAATTATTTTATTGACAATTATAATCAATCTTGACTATATTATCTTAGATTTGTAAACTTAGAATTGCCTATTTAAATATCTAAATTTAATATTCAATTATTATCACAATTACAATATAATCTTGCCTTGATATACTTTAAAGTACTTATTTAAAATAAATAAATAAATAAAAAACATTGAACATTATTCCATACATTTAAATCCTAAAACATTTTTAATTTTTTTTTTTTTAAATAATCTAAAGTTGAGCAATATGTGTAAAAATGCTGAGATAAATTCCAATTATATTGCGAAGATCTCCGTCCTTCTCGATCAATCTCAGATCTTCTGAATGAGTGCTCTCCCAGAGAGAGGAGAATGAAAGTGAAATTCAGTGGAAAGTGCTACTCCATATATACGACTTGGTCAGAGAATGCTACGAGTCTACGACGTTGGCGACCACGTGAAGTTGAAGACTCGAAGTTGCCGATAACCTTCTGACTCTACGAGCTATATAACAAGGTGATTTGATTCCCCCCTCTCTCTCTGTTGCTTGGATCAACTTGATTTCTGCAAGCAAAGGACTTCAATTCCACTTTTATATTGGAATTGATTTGATTTCCTCCTGTGTAATGTTGAAATTGAGATGACCTAAATTTTTAAAAATAAAAGTTGTCATAAAGTCAACAAGTTTACGAAAATGACTGTTATTAAGAAGTGCAATATAGATTTGATATTATGCTTTGTTTAAAGATTCATTTCACATAATATGCTTCAATTAAAAAAACTGTGAAAATCATTATTGATAGTAAGGGAAGCACATTGGTGAAAACAATATATAAGCACATGTATGTATTTGCCCATCCAATTAATATCATTATTCTGTGTTGTTAGTTGTTTGATATATCTGTCAAGTGTACATATGATTTTGGAACTGATTGGCAGCAAATTACTCCTACTGTTATTACAGACCTAAATGACTGCATTTTTATTGAGCAGGAAGAATTTTATCAATTTTAATTCCAAAAGTTTGTTGCTTTATTATAGTAGACTAAAATTATACAAAGGTCTACTTTTTCAGATATGTGATTCAATTTCATAATATCAAATGTGTGCTTATTCAGTACACTTTTTGATTATCAGTTGTATCCCCCACTATACACTTAAACTGAGTTCTTAAATTGTGTACTCTTTAACATGGAAATCAGTTCTTTTTTCTTTGTCATTTAAAATCTGATGTTATACGTTTTTTCCGACCTAGGTATATCACTTTCTTTTGCTGCATTCAATATTTTTTAAGAACAAACATTGAGTGCATATGAACAGATGGTACCTTTGTTATCCCCAGGATGTTTCCTCTTCCTTCATATCACTGCTGAGCATGTTAGTTTCTCCATCCTTTCACTATTTTGCTGTTTCATCAAATTGAATCGTACAACTAAAATAGTGGTTTCCCACTGCATATCATCTTGGAATAGTAACAATTTTCTACACATTTAATATTGTCCTGCTGCATTGATTATTAGAGCTTATTATCATATTTTCCTGAAATATGATTCCTCCACAGCAGCCTACATGATAATACATTGTATTTTAAAGGATAGAAACATAGTAAGGCTTATAGGACTGATTATTTAAAGTATAGAAATAGTAATATGATTCATGAAAAAGTCCTAATTTATAGATATAGATCTTACTGAAAATTTCATAGAGAATGCATGTTCTCTTGGTACTTCATTTTTTACCACTAAATTGCAGCCCCCAACAGGATCATGCATTGTACGACCATCTTCTTTTCACTGCCATGTTAAGAAAAAAATGTAATCTGGACAGTGCATATGCATTAAAACAAAAAAGATTTTTAATCAACAATTTGGTAGATGTAAATGCCTCTCGATCATGAAAGAAGAACTCTTTACACTTGATTGTAGAAAAGCCTTTTCTTTCTAGGATTTTATATGTATGCACCACCCTAACTTTGATTGTGCTTCTTGTTTTACGACCAAGCATGTATATAAGAGCCATGAAAGTCCTAAGATGTATTCTGATTAGCTTTCGTTGTAATGTTTGTATTCGAATAGAAGTCTTATATAGCCATTGGTTTACGCATGCCTTGTATCTATAACAGAAAAAGAACGATACGCTTCCCAATATAAAACTAAGTGTAATCCATGTTTTAACCAAACGGTATCGTATGCTTTGGGTGGGAATTTTTCACCAAAACTATTTGGCTTTATTATAGTTAGGATTATATATGGGGAAGGGAAGAGATACATACATGTTTCTCACTTTTCTTCAACTTCAATATAAAACTTTACCCTAACTCTTCTTTTCTGGGGACTGGGCAACCTAGCACCGCTCAAGAGAAATTGTTTTTTTTTTTTTTTTTTTTTTTTTTTTTTGTAAGAGTTTTCTTTATACTTTTGGCTCATTTTTCTGGTTAAAACATCATATTGATTTTTAAATATTTCTGCAAATGTTTCAACAGGATAAAGTGATAAACCATGCAATCGTAGTGTTGTTTTCTGTTGATGATCTTTGTTTGGGTTTTCATTCTTTAGTTATTTATATTTTTTGAATTGGAATTGGAATTTACTATATGAGTTTATTTTTTTGTATCAGTGATCCCATTGGACTTCTAATGCTTCTTGAATATATGCAATTTTTAAGAATTCGATTCTAAGCCATACTAATTTAAAATTAGACTGAAGTATAATTTACTTTATTCTAATTTTAATTGGTCTGGCTTAGGTTTACTAGTTTATCTTTTCTTCATTAATTAATTATTCTTTATGTTGTGAAGTGAGATTTTATATGGGTTTGGGTTATCTTTGAAATATAAGTATTCATCTCCCATTGTGTTGTAATGACTAATTTCTTTTGTGTGAAATACTGAGGTTTATGGGTTATAATATGTTTATGCAACTTTACAGGCTAACACTAGTTAATTATTAGTTCTCCAAATCCAAATTCAGATCTAAAGAAAGCCTAACTTTTCCATAACTATCAATGAAAGTCCACCGTAAAAACCAATATATAAACCTTAAGAGGAGTTGGGGTGACAGTCATTACCCCAAAATCAACTAGTGCATGCATACAGGTAAGTTCAAGCCTAATCAGGATTGAGTCTATCCCCAATGGTGCGAAACCAGATTCTGGCTTTGATGCCATTTCTGACTGGCTCAAGGACTTAGTCTCCAATAACTTGGCTGAGATCATGTCTAAAGTCACCGGTTCTGGGTGTTTTTTGACCACCGTGGTTTATGACTCAATCATGCCATGGGTGGCTGACTTAGTGCACCAGCTAGGCCTGAGAGCTGCTGCATTTAACACCCAATCATGTGCTGTTTTTGCAGTATACCATCATACTGATCAGGAGAACTTGACTGCTCCAACTGAAGGATCAACCGTGTCACTGCCTTCAATGCCACCATTGGGGTTGAAAGATCTCCCATCTTTTGTTCGCAATAAGAGCTCCTATTCTTCCCTACTGCGGTTCGTTTTGAGCAGAAATTTGAATACGCAGAAAGCAGATTGGCTCTTGTTCAACACTTTTGATGAATTGGAAAAGGAGGTATGCCTCTCTCTCTGCTTAGATATTTTAGATTATTGCAACAGTTTTATCTTGAAAATGAAATTGCTGAGTCTGTGTAGCCCACCTCAAGTGTTAATTTTTATTCCATTGAAGCAGTTCAATTTTGGGTTGCTGGGTTTAATTTCAACATTCACAATCAGAGATAAACTGAAAAAGAGGGACCTATATACTATATTCCCAAAATATCCTTAGTTGGGATCAAATCTTGACCTACAGGCCTCCCCTAGAAGTGGATTAAAATGACTGCTCTCAAACTCATTTGGACATGATCTCTTGTTCTTTAAACTGTTGAACTCAATTGTAGTTGGTTTTGGTGGATTGAAAGATTGCTTAACTTTTCATTGTTTTACCTGGCCACTAAACAAGAACTCTGGTTTAGTGTATGGTTAACAAGTAGAGAGGTGTTTGGTAGAAGTGATGAAGGGGGAGAGAGGGGTTATGCTCAAACAGAATGTTGCCAAGTGGAAACAATTGGCTAAAGAAGCTGTTGATGAAGGTTGAAGCTCCGACAAGAACATTAAGGAGTTTGTGTCTGCTATTTCTTCTTCTATGTAACAACACCAATCAATGAGCTGTTGGACTTACCGTACGTAGATTTATAAATTTCCATATAAGAGATCAATGTATTTACCATATCCATATAATTGTATTACTCCAAATTTCAAGCCAATTATCACAATCACAAATCTATTTTTATTTGTTTGATATATGTTAATCTCTTGCAAATTTCATCTTGATCCGTTTAGTCTCACGGACAATGATTCGTAAGACAGCCTCGCACAAGTCTTAATTTAAAACAAGTCTAACATATTCAACAATATATTAACGTCATCCAACACATTTAACCATAATGTATTATGCAATCACATATACTATTAACACATTTAACCATCACAACATAATCGATCACCAATGAGACAGGAATAATTAGGGTTTATTTGGTTCGCACATGAGAATTAAAATCGGAATGAAAATTGAATACTTGGTAATGGTAATGTGTTTTGGCGACAGTGTTTTTAAATGTTTGGCAGTAGGGTGGAATTGGAATGATTACCAATATTGATGTTTGGTTGTGTATAACCCTATAATGGAAATAAATGTTTTAAAAATACAAAAATAAAAAATCAAGGTAATTGATCCAAATATAATGACATACAAAGCATCAATATGAACAAAAAAATCAAAACAAAAATCTAAAAGTACTAATCCATATTAAAAATTAGATTACCAATAAGATGGAATGATACCCCTTTTTAATTAGGGAATAAGATTTTTAATTGAAGGGTAATCAAATTTCTTAAAACGTTGTCAACCAAACATAGAGATGGCAATGTGCCCTGTACCCGTCGGGGATCCCCGTCTCCGTCAAGAACGGGGACGTGGACGGGGGAAAAATTCAGGGATTGGAGAGTTTTACAAATTCCCCGGCGGAGACGGGAACGGGGACGGGGAGGCGAATAATTAGTATATTAATATATATATATATATATATATATATATTAGTAATTAGAGACCAGGACTATGTGGTCCAATGGTACCCGGGTTGGACTTCCATTTGGAAGATTATGAGTTCGAGCCTCAGTGGAGGTGTTATTGGTTCTTTGTGTTTCAGTAGGTTGAGAAAGTATATGAACAGATACTACACTGTAATAGAGCCAGTAACTTTCAAAAAAAAAAATATATATTAGAAATTAGATTATTATAAGTTTTGCTTCTGCATGGGGTAAGTCATACACGATACACTCATACTTATATTTAAAATTTTCATTTAAACAATAAGTATAAACCATATATTGTGTACTGTGTATTCAATATTGAATAATATTAAATGTGGAATTAAGCATAAAGCATATACTTACATACTGATACTGTGTATATATTTGAATATATTATATATTATTTTATTTTATTTTCTTTTTTATTTTAAAAAATTGTACTAATTTGACACTTTGACTATGGGTTGATTGGGAATTGGTATTCCCGTCCCCGTCAAATTTCCCGCGGGACGGGGAATTTTTTCAAATCCCTGCCGGGGACGAGGACGGGGAGTATACTCCCCGCCCCGCCCCGTTGACATCCCTAACCAAACACTATAATTTTGATTCTCATTCCTAATATGTAAACACATGAACCAAACCAAAGACACCCTAATACATTTCCAATTTTTTAAAATAAGGAATCAAGAATCTTGATTAGTATGTACTGAAAAAGATGACAAAAAAAGTACAAGAAACAGGGTAATCGATAGAGATTATGAAACAGGCTGAACAGTACTAGCTCTACATATGGGGCAAGTTTGATGAAGTACCAACCAAATAGCAATGCAATCTGAATGAAATTTATGGTTGCATGATAGAACGGTGGAGATGTCCCCTTTCTGAAAAGCAGTGATGCAAATAACACATTCATTATCTCTCTCCTCTCCCTTTACGCTCCCTTCTTCGAAACTTTTAATATTTAACCTTACTTCTGGGACTACTTGTGCTTCCACATTAACGTTGTTACCGTCGGTGCTCCTTCTCGCTAATCTGTTGCGCAGCTGCGCCGCCGCAGTTCGAGGTGGCATGTTAACGGGACACCAACACGAACATACATACCACAAACAAATGCCTACCACTATAATTATGAAATACAAAGGACCCACGTGCGTGTAATTGTCCTCCATGTCTAGTAGAATAGATAGAATACGCACGAATTTAGAATACGTGCGTGTTATATTTGAAAGAAGAAAACAATAGTAAAATAGTCTACTCATTTGTGAATATATATAGAATAATATTAGTCTATTTCTAATAGGAATAGGATACTCTTTCTTAAAATAGGAATAGGATACTCTTTCTTAAAATAGGAATAGGAATAATCCAAAAGACAAGGCTGCATCACAATATATTGGGCTCAAGCCCTTGCTTAATAATGACAACTTAAAAATATTTTTTGGCCCATTATAGTTTATTTTTATTAAATTTATTAAGTCCTTATTTTGTAGTAATGCTAAACTAATTTTTATTGCGTGGAGCTGTGTAGAACATGGTCCAAAAGCATATAAAGTACATTATTTTAATTTATAAAATATATTATCTTAACACATAAAGTATACATTATTTTAACCCTTAATATATATTATCTTATCCCAGAAATTTCATTATTCTAACACATAAATTACAATATACATGATTTTAATTCAGAAAACACATAAAGTATATTACTCTATCTCATAAAATACATTATCTTACCCCAAAATTTTATTATTTTAACACATATAAAGTACATTATTTTACATGGAATGTTCATTATTCTAACACGCGCGCGGAGCAAGTAATTTTTGTAATATCAAATCGACGTTGTTTTGAAAAAACTATGAGAACCTTATGTTTTATTAATGACTTTTTAAAATTTTTAATTAAAAAAATTGTCCCGTGCATTATTTAATAATCTCTCTTTCTAATTGGTCAAATTATTTAATTATGGTAAATTAAAAAATAATTAATGATGGTAATAGAAATCCTAGAAGAATATAGAATATAAGAATATATAATTATTGTTATATTATTATTGTGACTCACAGAATACAATACAAGAATATTTAATTATGGTTATATTATTATTATGTGTATCACGACCATTATATACTAACAGAATTTGAAAGGAAACTAATAATATAATAATATAAGTGGTAATAATAATATCTAAAAGTAATTAAGTGTTAATAATAATAGTAAGAATATTATAAAGTAAGAATTATAACGTAGAATAAAACGTAATAATTAATAACTATAGTCTGGAACTAAATTTGGAATTGTAAAGATAAACGACCTCTAGTGAAATTAACTCTTAAATAATTATATATCAATTTAAACATTCTTAATATATTACAACAATTCTATTTCGTGCATCGCACGGATGAAAATACTAGTTGTAGACAAAAAATGAAATTAACTAAAAAAAAAAAAGAATTATTTACATTTTATACAATTTTATATTACAATCTAATCCTAAATTTTTATATATTTATAAAATGACCTTAAAGTCAAACCCTAAAGGCTAAAGCCCAAGTACACATCACTATATCACTCCTCTTTCTCTGCATTGCGAGCCGCCCATCGCCTCCAGATCACAGCGGATTCCGGCACCGCTTAACATCTTCAGGTTCCTCACGCCCTGTATATATTCATCTCTATATTTGTATGTTTATGTATATATACATCTCAGTTCTAGCTAGGCTTTTGATTAATTTATGAAAAAGACTTCGTTGATTTATATATAAGGCGTACTATGTTTATAACATTTGAAACATGGGCTAAGTAGGGAGTATAGGGGAAATATTTAATTAATTAATGAAGATAATATTGGCGCTTTAAGCTCTATTTGCTAAAAGTTGATTGATTGAGGCGAGGTTAATTTGCATTAGGTTGATGCTTAGTGTGATTGGGCATTGCGTTATGGGGGCATTGCGTTATGGGGGCAAATTACAGATAAATGAAATCATTGTGACTTTAGCACATCTTATACTTCATATATATGTATAATTCACTTCATAGAATTCATATACACATTGATGTAACATCATTTAGTACGACAGAATTGATATAATTTTAGTTTGCTCTTTGTAATTGAAAAAAAATGCATTTTGGCTATGGACAAATTTAGCCTAATTCTTGTGCTGGAATGGTCTTTTGTACACTGCATTCTTTTAAGCATTCAGGCTCATTAGGTTTCGTGTGATTTGTATTAATGTTGTTTGTTCACTTTGTCATGATATTTGATTATATAATATAATGTGTATTATTACAATTTTTTTTTTGTTTTTTTTTTTGTTTTTTGTATATGGAGATGTAAACAAAATTTCTAGTCCCTATTCAAGCCGGACTTGAATAGTTCGAAGCTTGAGCTAAAAAAGTAGAGCTCTATAAAGCTTTAGCTGTGCTTTTATATTCTAGCTTGACTTGACTGAATTACTACCCTAAATATCACTTAGGGCTTTATTCACATTGCTTATAAAAATTCCTGCTTGATTAACATTGTCTCTCTCCCCCAAGGCATCAAGCTGTTCTTCTGCTCCAAATTGCAGCTGAAGCAACTGCCAGCGCCATGGTATTTATCTTTCCATATGTTTTCCTTCATTTTGTGCTCCTCTAAGGTTATTTCTTTTGTTGATTTGATCCCATGAACTTCTAAAATGAATGTCTCCTGAACTTTCAGGTGAAGTACTCAAGAGAGCCAGATAATCCCACCAAGTGTAAGATCTTACAATACACAGAGTACTCTTTTCGTTATGTTCTGCTTAGTGTTTGTATAATTTATTAGAAGTCTCATTTGTTTTTAATGTATGTTAGTATTCAATTCTTTTGTGTATTTTTCTATTTCTTCTACATTGCAGCCTGCAAAGCCAGGGGCTCAGATCTCAGGGTTCATTTCAAGGTACATTTTTCCCCTTAAAATGGGATGATTTATTAGTCTGATAATTGTTTTTTAATATTTCTTTTTTGTTAAGTTATGGTTCATTTTTGTATTTCATTTGTTTGATTCTGTGTTATAATCATTACCTAATTAAAAGAAGATGGTTCAGTAAATGGTGTTCAGTAAATTTGCATTGTTATTGGGTGAGGCGGTGAGCCTCTTCAGTCCTTTGTGGATTATGGCAGATGGTTCAGTAAATGGTGTTACAACTATATATAATTATCATTTTAATTGCTTGTTTCTAATTATAAAACTTAAGTGACTTTAGAAGATTTGCTTTGTGCAATTCTCATTTATAGATTTCCAAGAATGGATCTGTCCTCTTAACCAGAATGAACCCTAGATCTTTTATTTTTTTAGTCTCAGACTGGCTCAGTTTGGACTCTCATTTCTTGCAAACCCATATTGCCCTTTATTGCTGAATGTGTTTCCTTTGAATCCATTGCGATGTCTATAATAAGGAAATGATCATATTTTAAAGTATATTATTGTAGGAAAACAGGGATCGTGTGTATTGGTGTTGTGCTAGTTTTGTAGTGCACTATGCTTGAAAGATTTCTCTGCAAGTAGATAGGCAATTGTGTTTCATCTTCTTAGTTGAAAGATTTCAACAATCATCTTCCCCAAATTCTTATACATGCTCAGCTGTTATCCTTTATCGACGATTGTTGTGATTCACTTTTGATTTTTGTTTTTTGCTCTTTTCTTTTTGGCATATTGTTTGGCCATCCAGTGGATATTGACATTTTGTTTAAACATTCTATGCCCTTTCAGAACACTAGGGAAACAGCTCATGCTATCAGGAAGTTGCCTTTAGACAAGGCTAAAAGGTATTTGGAAGATGTTTTGGTCCACAAGCAAGCCATTCCCTTCACCCGTTTCTGTCGAGGTGTGGGGCGAACTGCACAGGCAAAGAACAGACATCCTAATGGACAGGGACGTTGGCCTGTGAAATCTGCTAGGTTTATTCTTGATTTGCTCAAGAATGCCGAAAGCAATGCTGAGGTATAATCAATCATTGACTTTCATGTGTGAAAGGTATTTTTATTACATTTTCTCTGTTAATTTTGTTCTTATTAGTTGAATTTTTTTTCCTTCCAACTCTTCAGGTGAAAGGATTGGATGTGGATTCACTATTCATTTCCCACATTCAAGTTAACCAAGCACAGAAGCAAAGGCGTCGCACATACCGTGCTCATGGAAGAATTAACCGTATGCCCCATGTCCTACTTTATTCTTCTTATTTGCATGGTACTTGTATATCTCAAAATGTTTTATGCTAACGTATTTGGTTGCCAGCTTACATGTCATCCCCCTGCCATATCGAATTGATCTTGTCCGAAAAGGAAGAGCCTGTCAAAAAAGAGGTTAGTTGTCTTCGAGTTGGAGGATCACATTTATCGTAATTTTGTTTGGTTTTGTGTTGTTGTTGATTATTATTTTTTTAAATAAATAAATATAATGGAGATTACCCACAACATCTTAATATCTGTTTTCGTTCTACTTTTTACAGCCCGAAACCCAGTTAGCAACCAGCAAATCTCGGAAGGCTTAGGTTTGCAGTCATACAATAGAGGATTTGAATCCATTTTGCGCATTCCATCTGAACTAGTTTCTTAGTTTTTTGCTTATGAACGGATTTTATGCATTGCCCTTAATTGCATTATTGTTTCTATCATCAAGATTCAAGACTGCTGTTATATGACATTGGCCAAATTTTTTTCTATCCTTTTTGGACTTTACATTCGTGACCTTTTATATCCAATCAGAATGAGAATTGAGAACCGAGTTAGCCGGTAGCATTAGTAGTTTAGCGTTGCTGTTATATACCCGATGTTGCAAAACACGTTAGGCGCCGCCTAGGCGGCAAGGGGGCGCCTAGCGCCTAGGCGCTGATTTTTTTATTTTTAATTTATTTTTATTTTTTTAATTAAAAATAAAATTAAAATTTAAAATTTTTTAAAATTTAGTAATAAAACATAAGGTTTCCATAGTTATTTCTTAGAAACTATTTACGAAAGTGGTTGTAAAAGTGTTCAAAAGATTGTTTAAATCATTTAAATACATAAAAAACTAAAATTAAGAGCTAAAGACGCATTTTTTTGTGAAATTAGTGGACCAAACTGTCTTCGGCTGTTTGCGGTGGATAGATCTCAAAAAAATACGCGATTTGAAAAAAAATTGTCCAAAATGGACAACCGAGTCAAAAGTTATGCTTTCCTGAAGTTTTCGCAATTTTAAAACGCCAAAAAAAAAAAAAATTAATAAAGCGCCGGTTCGGCCGGCCGCGGAGGAGGCCGATTTCGAACTTCTTCGCGACGGCTGGGCGCCTAGGCGCCGATTGATTAATCGGGGGCGCCTAAGCGCGATTTTTGCAACCATGTATATACCTCTTCTGCTTTAATAGAAACATAGATGCGCTTAAAACATCCGTGAGAAGGCATTTGGTTCCAAGTTATAATAACTTAATAAGAGTGTTTTTGATTTATGGGTTTATATTCATTGAATGAGAATTAAAATCATAGTATTGTTCGGTTGATAAATTTTTAAAATATAACTATGAAATTTAATTATCTCTTCAACTAAAAATTTTATTCTTTAATTAAAAATGAGTTTTTCATTTCATGTTATCATTCCTTATTTGTCACCTCGATCTGTCACTTTGGCGCTTTCTCACTACATCTCTCAGATTTTTGTTTATTATAATTGAAATTAATATAGACAATGGATTCGGTAGTGTTGAAACTGGCGTTGTGAAACAATCAATTTATAACGCAGTTTGGGCAAACAACCCTAAACTGCGAGGCACTTCTCAAGTTGAGAATTTGCCTAAATCCACTAAAAGCTTGATATTTAAAGTACACTTGGTTTAGAGAACGGGGATTACACAATATGATATCCTATTAACCTATTGTGACCTAAACACTTGTACTACTTTTCAAGGGAGTTTGGGTATCTCTTCTCAATGACTCTCGTGCTCACAGTTAGGTGTTGAAAGCATAAATTCTTGTGATTGAGAGTGACTTCTTTTATAGGATCAATTTAACCTTAGTTTGTGTATGAATAGGTTATTAATCCTAATCATATTTGGATTATGATATCTTCTATGATTGGGATATGGTTTTTGCTGCTAATGTTTTGACAATTCATTTGAAGTCAACACTCTCCCCCTTTGTCAAACTTTTGCAAAAACCTTGATCCTTAGAGAGGCTTGTTTCTTGGCTTGTCTCCCCTTTAGTTTGATCCCAGTCTTTGATGTGTCTTCCTTTAATTTACATTTGTTGAGACTACTACACAGTGTGGATCATAAGAAGATTGCTATCCAGTCTTGGTACTCCAAGTATATACAAAAGAAATGATCAACAACCAGTTCAAGGATAATAAAAAAAACTTCCAGATAGATTAAAAGGCCTCCAGATAGATCAGCTTTAATATTCTAAAATCCAGAGGAAAATGTTCAAACTAGTCTCAAAAGAGAACAGTTAAGAACACCCTGTCAGCTTCAATGTTTCGATCAACAAGAAGAACAGTCACAAGACTGTTACAAGCAACTATCCAAAGCTGTATCCAAAAACTGTCCAAACCAGATAGATCACTGTCCAAAAAGGAATGTTCAAGCTAGTCTTCAAAAAGAACAGTTTAAAAAGCAGTTAAGAACACCCTGTCAACTCCAATGTTTCGATCAACAAACAGAGCAGTCATGATACTGTCTCAAGCTATTATCCAGTCACAAACAACTATCAAAAACTGTTCAAACCAGATAGAGACCTCAAAAACTATCCAATCCAGATATATCACTGTGATCACTGTCTCCCCACTGTCTCCCCCTTTTTGCTAAAAGTTTGAGAATGCTAGGTAGATTCTTTACCATGTTCTGCCTGACTATCTTCTTCTTCATCATCATCTTCCTGACCATCTTCTTCTTCATCATTTTCTTGATTTTCTTCTTCTTCATTTTCACTGTCCTGACCATCTTCTTCTTCATCATCTGCTTCATCATTTTCTTGACCCTCTTCTTCTTCATTTTCACTTTCACTGTTTTCTTCATTTCTTTCTGTTTTTAGGGCTTTCAATCATGTGTTTTCGTAACAACTGTTTCTCTGAGTCATCCAATTCTTTTATCCTTTTCTCAAAGTACTTGATCAAGGTTTGTTGGTCAGTTGGATCATCAGTTGGAAAAGAGGCTTTGAGATCATTTTGGTGATTCCCCTTTTTCAGTTTCATGGTTGTGTTTATGGTCTTGACTTGTGTTTTTGGTCCATGTGATTTCAGTCCTTGCTTGGATAGGATAGAGTGGATTAGATTTGGGAAAATGAGGGAAGCCTTTGACTCACTACTTTCTGCCAAGTTTGTGATTTGTGAATACACAATATTTCCAATGTTAACCTTGATTCCCTTTCCAATTTTGTACAGGAGCTCTGCCAGACTCCATTTGATTGTTGTTTCGTGTAGAGAGGGCATCCAATTCACAAGTGCAATTTTTTGTAATATAGCATACTTGCTCGTTAATGAGGCAGCCTTGATTTTCTTTTTGTCAAAACTCACGTTTCCAGATGTAAGTTCTTGAATAACCTGTTCACTTTCTAGTTGAATATTTTGTTCTTCACTGGTTGTTCCTAGGTGAGCATTGATGATTTCTGGATTGAAATCATAAAATTTTCCTCTTAGATATGCTTTTCCGTACATAGGGTTGGTGGGAGATGATGTGTCTTTGGTGAGATTACAGTAAAATTCTTTGACAGCCTGTTCTTCATAGGAGTCAATATTGATGACTGATCCTAAGAGTTTGGTTTTTGTTAGAACCTCAGTGATTTGTTCACAATTTTCCAGCCTGTCTAGTATTAGAAGCTTTTGACTGATGATCTTTTTCTCCAAGAATTTATTCCATGTTTTGGAATTTTCTTTAGACAAGAATTTTGGACTATAGGGCTTGGGTAGTTTTGACAGGTCAGCATCATTAACTACTTTCTGTTTTCCTTTTTCTCTAATAGACAATTTCTTTTTCCTCTTTTCTGGATGGGCTTTATCACAATCGGAGACTTCTCTTTCGGGAACCCAATCTTGTTCTTCTTCAGTAGGTTTTTCTTTTTGTTTCTTAGAGGTAGTCTGTCTTGGGGGAGGTATGTTAGGGATTCTTCGAGGGGGTCTAGCAGAAATTGGAAAGTCACTGGACCTTTTTGCTCTAGGATCTGCCCCTTCGTAGGGGTCAGATCTTCTTCGTTTTCTCTGTTCTCTGTCGGATAGAGGAGGTGGAGATGAGGATTCAACACTTCCAATTATAGGGCGTTCTTCCTCAGCTTGGAGACAATTAGCATTATCCCCAATTTCATTCATAGTGGGTAGATTAATTGTGATGTCCCCGTGTAATTCAACTGTAAGATTACCTGGGTTAGGGTTTTGATGATCTTGTATCTCCTCGAATGGTACTTGTGAGATGGGGACCGGGTCCATGATGATGGTGGTGGATTCTTCTTCTTCGATACATACTGGATTTGATGGAACTTCGGTGCCGGCGTACTGTGAGGTGGTTCTTCTCCGAGGTAATTTTTCTTGCCTTTGATTTCTTGTTCTCACCATTGTTGCTCTGTCGTAGAGTGTAGAAGAAGACCGTGAAAGTGATTGTGGATGAGAAATCGCGATCGGGTGTGCTCAATGTGTTTTTGATTTTGGGGATTTCTAGAAGTGGACCGGGTTCTGGGCTTTTCAGTGGTGGATTGGGTATGGGCCTTTCGAAGATGGACTGGATATGACCTCCTTAAAAGATGACGGTATGGATAATGCTTATATGATCTTGTTTTTATTATATATATATATATATATATATATATATATATATATATATATATATATATATATATATAAAATAAAATAAAATGACCCATGTATTGGTTCATAAAATACACAGTCCTAATTCGGCTCTTAGTTTTGCATATCTATTTCCATCAAGTGCCTTTGTTAGTATATCTGCAAGTTGATTTTCTGTGTTGATATGTGTGAGATTGATAATTTCGTTTTCAACTAACTCTCTTATAAAATGATGTCTGATGTCGATGTGTTTTGTTCTTGAGTGTTGTACTGGATTCTTGGAGATGTCTAGCACTTTTGTTATCACAGTGTATGATCATGGTTGTCTGATGTATTCCATAATCTTCTAGCATCTGTTTCATCCAAAGTAGTTGTGTGCAACAGCTCCCGGCTGCAATGTATTCTGCCTCTGCTGTTGATAATGATATAGAGCTTTGCTTTTTGCTTATCCAAGATACGAGATTTGTTCCTAGAAAGAAACAACCTCCTGAGGTGCTTTTTCTGTCATCTACGTTTCCCGCCCAATCGGCATCACAATAGGCTGATAAGTGATGATTGGTGTCGAAAGAATATCGTAACCCTAATTCGGTGGTTCCTTTAACATATTTAATGACTCTTTTTACTGCTTTTAACTGTTGTTCAGTAGGATTTGTTTGATATCTTGCGCATATTCCTACTCCAAAGCTTAGATCTGGTCTACTAGCAGTTAGATATAATAGTCCTCCTATCATACTTCGATATAAGGTTTGCTCAACTTGTTTTCCTTCTATATCTTTTGAGATTCTTTCTGTTGTTGGAACTGGTGTTCTGACAACTTTGCTTTCTTCTAGTCCGAATCTCTTAACTAGATTTTTTGCATATTTGCTTTGTGATATGAAGATCCCATTGTCTTGTTGTTTAATTTGTAGTCCTAGAAAGTAGGTTAGTTCTCCAACCATGCTCATCTCAAATTCTCCTTCCATGTTAGTGATGAATTGGTTTTTGTGGTCCTCAAGTGTTGAGCCAAATACTATGTCATCAACATAGATTTGGGCAATGACTATGTCTTGTCCATAGTGTTTGACGAATAGAGTTTTGTCCACGCTACCTCTTTTGTAGCCCTTTTTGACTAGGAATTCAATGAGACGTTCGTACCAAACCCGTGGTGCTTGTTTTAGTCCATATAGTGCTTTGTTGAGTTTAAAAACACTTTGTGGAAAATGGGGGTCTTCAAACCCTTTTGGTTGAGCAACATAGACTTCTTCTTTTAGATATCCATTTAAGAATGCCGTTTTCACGTCCATTTGGTAGAGTTTTATCTTGAGTATGCAGGCTACTGCTATGAGAAGCCGGATTGATTCAATTCTGGCTACTGGGGCAAATGTTTCCTCAAAATCTGTTCCTTCAACTTGAGTGTATCCTTGTGCTACTAGTCGGGCTTTGTTTCGTATAATGTTCCCTTGTTCGTCTGTTTTATTTTTGTAGATCCATTTTGTCCCTATGATATTGGCATTCTCTAGTTTAGTGACTAACTGCCAGACGTTGTTTCTTTCAAACTGTTGTAACTCCTCGTGCATGGCTCCCACCCAAAATTCATCTTTTAAGGCTTTCGTGATGTTTTTGGGTTCAATTTTTGAGGTGTAGCAGTAGTCATAGTCTCCTTCTTCCATTTTTTGATAGTCTCGTTTCTTTCTTCTAGTTCTGATTCCTTCATTTAGTCCTCCTATAATGTTTTCTATTGGATGATTTTTCTGTATCCTGGTCTCATCAGTGGTGAGGGTCTCTTCTTTTTCTTCAGGGTTTTCAGCTTCTTCTTTCTCTGTTGTTTCTGTTTCAGATTTCTGATTTTGCGATGTTAGAACTGTTGTTTCAACAACAGTTATCTCTTCATCATTGGTGGAGGGATCTTCTGTTGTTGTGTCATTGACCACAACATTGATAGATTCCATGACAGTGTCTGTCCTAAGATTAAATACTCGATATGCCCTGCTGTTTGAGGAGTATCCTAGGAAAATCCCTTCATCTCCTTTAATGTCAAATTTTCCCAGTGGTTCTCTATCTTTTAGAATATTGCATTTACTTCCAAACACGTGTGTGTTTTAAATTTGGTGTTTTTCCTTTCCAGATTTGATATGGTGTCATGTTGGTTTCTTTTCGTATGAATACTCGATTTATCAAGTAGCATGTTGTATTAACTGCTTCTGCCCAAAATTTTGATGGAAGTCTTTTGTGATTTAAGAGAACCCTTGCCATTTCTTGGATAGTTTGATTTTTTCGTTCGACTACTCCATTTTGTTGGGGTGTTTTTGGTGCGGAGAACTCATGATGAATCCCATTTTCTGTGCAGTATTCCTTGAATTTTGAGTTCTCGAACTCCCTTCCATGATCACTTAAACGAATTATTTTTCCTATTCTTCCGCCTTTTTCATTCTGAATTTTGATAATGAGAGTTTTGAATATTGTGAATGCTTCAGATTTTTCACTAAGAAAGTTCACCCATGTGAATCGTGAATAGTCATCGACTGTTACACAGACATATCTCTTCCCTCCTATGCTTTCTGTCTGGGTTGGCCCAAATAGGTCCATGTGGAGTAGTTCTAAGATTCTAGAAGTGTGTATTCCTGAGCTTTTCTTGTGGGCTGTTCGTGTTATTTTGTTTTCAAGACATGCATCACATTTTTTGTTCTCGTCTATGTCAAGTGTTGGAACTCCTCGATAGACTCCCTTCTTTAAGCCCTTTATCATGTCATGAAAGTTTATGTGACCCATCCGTTGGTGCCACAATTGTGTTTGATTGACGGTTGTCTGTAGGCAAGATAGATCATTGTCCCATGTGTAGCATTTATTTGTGGATTTTCTTCCAATCATAACACATTCATGATTTTGATTGAGAACATTGCAACTATCTTTTGAAAATTCCACTTTAAGTTCATCTTCACATAGCTGGCTTATACTAATCAGGTTTGCTTTTAATCCTTGTACCAAGAAGACTTTTGACAGTTTTGGCAGCCCATGTACGTTTAGAGTTCCATTTGCGATAATTTTCCCTTTTCCTCCATCTCCAAAGGTTACATATCCTTCCCTTTTATATTGTATATTCTCTAAATTTTCTGGATTTCCAGTCATATGCCTGGAGCATCCGCTGTCAAAATACCATATATCTTGCTCTTTGTTTGTTTTGGAGGTATACGCAACATTTTGATCTTTTCTTACCCAGATTTTCTTGCTATTATTTCTGTTATGTGATGGCCATACTCTGTTGTTTTGCCTGTAGTAAAGATCATTTTGTCTTTTGTAGCAGTGTGCTTTGATGTGTCCTAGTTTGTGGCAATAGTAGCACCTTATTCTTCTTCGGTGTCGGAAGTGCTGTTGCGACACTTCCTGTGTCTCGGTTTGATGATTCTCACTAATGTCTGTACTTGGAGTCCTGGGTCTTTCGGTAAGCTCCTTAATTTCTTGTAGCAGTTTAGCTTCTCTGTTCTTGCAGTCTAGTAGTTCGTTCTGGGCTTCTTGGAATTGTTTTTCTAGTCGACTCTTTTCATCTTTCAAAAAGTGATTGTCTTCCATAAGTTCTAAATTTACCTTGATGATCTGCTCCCACTTGGCATTTAATTGAGTGTATGCCTCTAGCAATTCTTGCATGTCATCGTTATTGTTGCTTTCATGGCTAGCAGTGAATGCCACAAAATTTGTGTTGTTGTCATCTTCTTCGCTATCTGAGTCATCGCTCAGGGTTGTTATGTATGTTTTGTTCTTTGTTTTCAAATATGTGGCACATTCTGATTGGATGTGTCCAAACCCTTTGCATTCATAACATTGTATTCCTTCCGTAATTGTGTTGTCTCTACGTTTTGGATTTGATTGTTTTTGATTGACTATGGAATTTCCTTGGTTGTTTGAAGAATTTTTATTTCTGAACTTGTTGAATTTTTTAAGGACTCGATTAAAATTCTTTATCAATAATGCAATTGACTGTTCCATAGTTTCTGAATCAATTTCTGAGTACTCTTCTTGTTTGGACTGAAATGCTATTCCTTTGCCATTGTATTTATGATTTTGCAGCATTTCAAGCTCATAGGTTTGAAGATTTCCTATTAGATCACTAAGCTTGTATGTATTCAAATCCTTGTTCTCTTGAATGTCAGTGACTTTTATTAGGAATCTTTCGGGTAGTGAGCGTAGTACCTTTTTGACGATCCTATGTTCGGGTATAGGTTCGCTTAGGTTGAATGCATCTCCGGAGATACTCAAAACCCTGGCACTGAATTGGGTGATATTTTCTTCTTCTTGCATCTTTAGATTTTCAAATTCCGTTTGAATCATCTGTAACTTAGATTGTCTTACTGATGTGTTTCCTTCATGATGATTGCACAATATTCCCCACGCGATTTTGGCTATGCGGGTATAAGCAATTAATTTGAATGTGTCTTCACTTACTGCTCCATATATAGCATTCATAGCTTTTGAGTTGAAGTCATATTCAGTTTTCTCCTCTTCACTCCATTCGATTCTAGGTTTAGCATTTCCTTTGTCATCGACTGGAGTTTTCCATTCGTTCTCTATTGCATTCCAGACCGCTTCTCCTTGTGCTAAAATGTATATCTGCATTCGAGCTTTCCAGTAAGAAAATTTTGTGCCAAGTAGGGCTGGTGGTCTATTGTTTGAAAGTCCTTCTCTAGGGAATTCCATTTGGATCCTGCTAATAACTTAAGCAGACCCGCTCTGATACCAATTGAAATTAATATAGACAATGGATTCGGTAGTATTGAAACTGGCGTTGTGACACAATTAATTTATAACGCAGTTTGGGCAAACAACCCTAAATTGCGAGGCACTTCTCAAGTTGAGAATTTGCCTAAATCCACTAAAAGCTTGATATTTAAAGTACACTTGGTTTAGGGAACGGGGATTACACAATATGATATCCTATTAACCTATTGTGACCTAAACACTTGTATTACTTTTCAAGGGAGTTTGGGTATCTCTTCTCAATGACTCTCGTGCTCACAGGTGTTGAAAGCATAAATTCTTGTGATTGAGAGTGGCTTCTTTTATAGGATCAATTTAACCTTAGTTTGTGTATGAATAGGTTATTAATCATAATCATATTTGGATTATGATATCTTCTATGATTGAGATATGGTTTTTGCTGCTAATGTTTTGACAATTCATTTGAAGTCAACAATAATTACTAAATATTTGATTTTGATTTTCATATGATCTCCCCTAAATGTTAATCTAAAAATCTATAATATTAGAGGGAATGAGATTTTTTAGGGAGAACTTGAAAATTATTTCTCAAAATATTATGAATTATTATAATTATGTGATAACATTTGAATCAAGTGCTCCTTCAAGGTATACAGAATAAAAAGCATGAGTAGCAAAGTAGATTTACCGCATGAGATGATTGGCGCTTGCTGTGACATCTGCAAGTTCATTTCTCCACTCCTGAGTTAACCCCATCACTTGACCCTAGCCCACAATGCATGCTTTTTAATTAAAAATACAAACGGCAACAACGGTGACGACAACTATGCAGGTGCGGCTAGCAGGCGAGGACAAGCCAACAACAGCGATTCCAGAGACTATGACGTTGTAAGGGCCGATGGCGTGTTGCGTGACCGGCGTCTGCGAGCGGCGGGGCTGTGCGGCACTACAATTGGACTCAAAGCTTTTTTTGGGTTGCGATTTTTGCTTCAGTCACCATGAGAATTGAGAGCCAAGTGGAAGAAGAAGAGAAAAAAGGAATTGAGGTTGAAGAGGAAGCACAGAAATAAAAGGGTGTGTTTCCCGTGTTTGACTAAAAGGGGAAAATGAAAGTCAATGGAAATAGGGGTGTGGTCAATGGAAAATAAAGGGAATTTTTTAGAAAATGACTTTCCCATTTTTTTTTAGGAAGTCATTTTTCATTTGCACCCTCATCGCCACCACCACCACCACCACCATGATTGACTACCGCCCAAACTTATGTTGCATGGAATTTAAAATAAAAGTTGTTATATTCTAAACAAAACAATAACAATTTTTTTTTTTGGGTATATAACAATTAAAATGTTGAAGTATATAATTATGCTCATTTTCTTGCTTATTTTCTAGAAAATGAATCAAACACATAAAGACAGTTTTATGATGTACAGTCAAACACTATAAAGGAAAATATTTTGTGAAAAATAACTAATTTTACAGAAAATATTTTCCAAAATTCATTTTCCTACTTTCCAAACGGACTCTTAAAGAAAATCAAAAGTATTATAGAGATTGGAGTAGATTAGGCCATTAGGGGGAAACTGGGGACCCAGTGACCAACCCAATATTTGATTAGATTTTGATTGTTCCAAAGCAATTTGAGGACTAGAGCAAAAAGATGTCTTGTAGGTTTTTTTTTTTAATAAACATGTCCTAGCCCGCGACCCCCGCGGGCTGCGGGCCAGGCTTGTTAAGCTAGTATTTTTGTGGGACATCTTTTTTATGACTCTAACCCGCCCTACGGGGTGAGTGCGGGTTGACCCTACGGCTTCGGCTCACTTAGACACCATTCAAGGATCAATCAATTAAATTACATACAAACATACAATGAATATTAATTGCAAGCCTAAAGTGGAAGTGTGTAATTGTGGCTCTAAACAAGTCTCACAAATGGGTTAAGAAGGCAATTCACGAAACTTTTGATGCAATAAACCATTCAAAATACATAGACAATCCAAAAACAAAAACAACACAACATTGGATCATACATGTTCACAAATACATATTTATCCAATTATTGAGAGTTATGACTTCAAATGATTATCTCACACACAAGAAAGTGTCAATTGCAACGGACACTTCAAATGATTAGCTCACACACAAGAAAGTGTCAAGTGCAACGGGCACCCCTTTCCACACTTCAGAAAGGAACATCGTCCTGATGTTCAAAGAAAATAAGCCTAGGGATAAGGGTGGGATGGGCAAACCATGGTTTCCTTTTTCCACATTTTAGAATAAGGGTGGGATGAGAAAAATCAAGCTTTCCATTTCCACACTTTAGAAGTGTGTATGGCAATGCCAGTATACAACTTCCCCTTTCCACACTTTAGAAGTGTGTATGGGGAGGCACAAACAATGCAAAGTAAGGAATGACAAGAATAAGAAATGAAAGAGAAAGGAATAGAAGGTAAGATACTCCCTCAAATATATCATTAGAAGGAAGTCGATCCCCACGATCATACCCTATCCTTTGGCAATTAACACAACAAGATAACCAAAAGTAATTAGTACAAACAAATAGGATAGAATCCTTTGGCAATTAACACAACAAGATAACCAAAAGTAATTAGTACAAACAAATAGGATAGAAGTAAAGAACATAAAATGAAAGTGCAGGAAAAATAAAGAGTGTCAATGATGTATCCCATCAATATAGACCTATGTGTAATGTCTCAATAAAAAATCAACAACTCAAATGAGCAAGAAACGTTAGGGTTGGTCTTGCAGTGGTGGTGGACGTGGTGTCAGGAGGTAAGCGACCCATGAGGGGCGGGGGTTTCGCTGGAGGGACTTCAGTTGGGGCTTCGAGAGCACGGTTTCGAGTCGCTTCTTCCGCCTTGTACGCCTTTTGCATGGTGCAGAAGGTTATTAGGTAGTCGGAATCCCATCCCTCAGGGTTGATGTCTTCATCGGAGTCAACATTTGGTTCACCCCTCTTTGGTGGGTTCAATGTGCATTCCAGGCAACCAAATGAGTGTGGTGCTCTCTTCCTTGACTCCTCACGCTTGCGGATATGCTCACTTTGCCTCCTTAGGTTTTCAACAGGAGTTTCTTGGCCCACCATCACCTAGACAAAAGACAAGTAATAGATAGATGGCTATAGACCATAGGCATTCCAATTAAAACATTTCCCCAAATTAATGACCAATAGACACAATAATTAGCTACAAAAATGATTTCCACACCTCAAGGTCATGCAACTCACAAGTATACATTAAGCAACATAATCATTGCATAAAGCATAGGATTACACAATAAATGGGTAGACATGATAATTTGAACAAGAAAATGGATTAGAGAGCATTACCTTGAAGAGAGTACTTGAGAGGGTGCATAATTGGAGGTAAAGAAAGAAAGTAGGATAATTGGGAAATGGAGGGGTTAAATCATATGCAAAATATGCGCATCTACTGAACTGTGTCGCGCCATGAGGGTGCGTTAACGATCATAACGACCCCTTGTGACATCATATCTTAATAGTAGAAACTATCCGTAGAAGACTCATAATATCAGACTCTCTGCTGCCACACAGGCTGTTACGCGCGTAATGGCCCTCATAATACCAGAGATATGCTTCCAAAAATTGCTTACCTCCTTTGCGAGGCTGCATGAACCTACTCCCTCAACGAATAACTTTGCCCCCAAGACATAGAGTAGTGGTTCGTCGCCTGACTTGGAGTCACGGCTAAAGGCGACAATGTGTGTATGTGTGTGTGTGTGTGTGTGGGGGGGGGGGGGGGGTGCCCAGGATGATGGAATGTGTGGATTGGATCCCTAATGCGCACATGAAGACTAGGGTCCAACAAGTGAGCTGATTACGCGACTCGTGATTTACCTCTGTAGTGGTTCTAATAGCGGGGTACTGTGGGCTTAGGACTAGTCCGACGAAGTGGAAATCACCTACATATAAAATAAATTATTGTCTTTTTTTTTTTTTTTGCTTTTAATTATCAACTTTATAACTAACAAATTTAGCAGTTGAATTTGAAAATTTATAAATCTTAGTTCTCCAAAGACCACATTTAGTACAATTGAAAACTAAAAGTGACAAAATTTCAAAAGTTAAGTAACGTTAATTTTGGGGAAATCTTAGCTAAGTTGGTCGATAGTTAACTTAGTAACCACAAGATTTCAAGTTCAATTTTTCATGGAAGTTGCCTATTAGCTTTCTTTGTTTGAACAGTCAGCTATGGACAACCTAAGATAGTTTACCTCCTTATAATCCTTTGCCGTTTAGAATTGCAAGGCGGAGGCTGGCTTCATCTAGAGCGTTTATTCGGATAACGGCTGTGAACTTTCTGCACTTATTGGAGTATAATGGCTGTGAACTTTTTGTAAATTAAAGTATCAATTTGGAATTTTTTTTAAAAAAAAAAAACAGTGTAAAGATTTAAAAAAGAATGAAAAATACTTAGTGCCCCTACATTTACTACTCACAAACTTTCTACTCCCTAATCTGACAAGTTTTAATTGGTTTGATTTTTTTTTTTTAATCTTTTTTATTTCATATCTTAACCGGTCACAACTTGCCACATTAGGGTGTGTCAAGTTTGTGAGTGATAGATGTAGGGTAATGAGCATTTAACTCTGACTCACCCTAGGTCTATTTTTTAATTGAGTTTTACTATATGTATTCTCAAATTTTACTTTCTGATGTGACGGACTCTGATAAGTCATTTTTTTTCATGTGCATTCAATACAAGTGTATCAAGATTTTGTGTGTAAGAATAAAAATTAGGAGTATAGAGTCAAAGTATACATAATATTTTCCTTTTAGTTTACGGAACGTAAACCAAAATGGGGAAAATTATGTCGGCCAAACCAAGGATAAGGAAAACGAAAACTAGAACAGTGAATAGGCGCCACAAGTGCACCCGCGTGGGACTGAGAAGTTATCCAGTAATTGTCTAACCAACCTTCCAACAACAATTGACTTTTCTTCTTTTATTTTTTTTTCCCCAATTAAAAGAAAAAGAGTTCGGACAACCGAAAGAGAATCTTTTTATGAAAATTTAGTTGATTTTGATGACGAAATTTGTTGATGAATGTAGACATATGTTCATGTATGGAATATATCCTGTAACTCTGAATGCAATTTGATATACCCTTTATCAACCTAACATCTTCTTCTTCTCTGCATATTTGTGATACACAATTTCTGGTGGAATTCAATTGAGAATGTATGTTTCCTGTCTTTGCATTATCTGTTTCTAATTTCCTTGCATTCGATAAGAAAACTTTTAATTTTTGGGAAATTGATCTTTGTGACCCTTAATTTCAATGCAGAATTGGTGCCGAAGAAATGGATTCATTAGGATTAGGATTGTAGTGCTGTGCATTTAGCCTTTCTGATCTGGATCTTTCATTTCAGAGGCTGAAAAATGTCTGTTCAACAGGACAATACACAGGACAATACAGTGGGCAATACAGAGGGCAATAATGTCTCTGGTAGTTTCTTTTCTTTATTTTATCCAGAAATCAATTAAATTATTCTTTAATTCTGCATTTATTATTGAATTGTTCTTGGGTACTTTTATTTAAAATCTTGCCCTTGCCAAAGTTTCCTAACCCTAGCAACAAGGGAGAGGATTTGGAGGATTTAAAAGAGGAAAAATAAAAGTAATATTTGCTTTGTAATGCATTTACATAATTGGTATGCTTGTGAGATGGTTAATGTGCTTAGAATTGTCACCTCTGTGAGGGAGTAGTCAATTCGTTTAGTTTGTGGCGTATTTCACATTCTTTTAGAGTTTTAGGTGGCAATGATAATCTGTCAAATGCTTGGTATGTGTTTCCTATATTATAATTTGTCCACATGGACTCGTAGAATCATTGGAGTTTTAGTAAATTCGTCGTTCGTTTGATGTTTACTCTATGCCTTTGATTTTTCTTGGATTTTAAATTTGTATATTTTGTTTTCTTTTCGTTTATCTGGTGTGTTTCTTGATCACGGAGATCAAGCTTATTTTTATGAGATGCTTATTAATATAAAAAGCAACCTTATTTTAATCCATTTTGTTAAGGTGCCCGCCTCTATGACCTTCTACAAATGGACACTTCTCCAAGTGATAGTGATCAGATGGAACCGCAAATGCAAGACTATTCTTTGAGTACGTGATTCTTGCTTTCTAATTTTGGGACTAGAATGTTGTTTACGAGTTTCTACTACAGTGTAATTTGTTCATCATCTGCACACTACTCAGTTTCTGATTCGCTCCCTTGTTTCTGCTTAGTGCTTGGATTTGTTGTTATAAGCCTATTGTGCTTGACTGCTTGCCCTTCCTAGCTTATATAATTGGCCAAAGAAACACATTTAAATCGATAAAACTCCTTCCTGAAAATAAGTAATGCATCATTCTCTTTTCTTGTTCTTTATCTCCTCTTATTCAATTTTGCTCAATTTCCCACGTTTGATTCTCTTGCTTCTCTGCCCATGTTATACAAAATAGGCTCCTTTTCAGTGTCTTAATTACTTTGTTTCTGTCAGGTCCTCGATGTAGACTAAAGGCTCTAATGAAAGAGTCTGGCAATCAATTTTGTGCAGATTGTGGATCTCCCGATCCAAAATGGGTGTAAGTGTCAATGCACTTGGTTATGCTGCTTATTTTTGCTTACCCACTAAATCTTGTTACTGAAGTCCATTTTTCACGCCTAGTAACTAAACCATACCTAGAGTAAAGTCCAACTTCGTTTTTATGCCATCTGATTGTCTGGTTTCATACATTCTGTGTAACATGCCTCACTGGTGAACACTGCAAATCATTATTTTACACTTGGGCTGCAAAACAAACACTCGGAGAAAGTGTTGGACAAGAATGTATGAAAATTGCGCCAATGAACAGTTATTTTTGTCTCTTAGTAGTTCCTTGTTATGTTCGTATTTTCATAATGGCACCTTGACTAAGAAGTTACTTGGTCTCTTTATAAGATGGTCTTTTCACCCTGCTTTTATACTGTTACATATATGTTCATTTGATGATTTCCAGGTCTTTAAGTCTTGGAGTGTTTATATGTATCAAGTGCTCGGGTGTACATAGAAGCCTTGGAGTGCATATATCGAAGGTAGGGTACTAATCCTCTTCTTTATTTAGAAGAGGGACGATATCACTTGTAGCCTTTTTGGGCATGCAAGTACCCAAGAACAATGCATTTGATTGCTTCGGGGCCTAGTTTTCCATGGCTTGGACTTGTATCATGGAAATGTTTATAGACTTGAGGTAGAAGTGAAAATTTAGGACGGAAATGAGGGAGAAGTTCGGTAGACAATTTAGTGGAGTGCTAAACTTTAGTTTTTTTGAAGGAAGACAATTGATGAGATAAGCTGCATTTTAATGGCTTCTCCCGTTCGACATGACTAGTAAGCATAAGGGTGTGACTTTGTGAGCATCTTCTACCCCAAGTCTTTAGTTGCATTGTCGGTTTCAATGCTAAATCCAAGAAAAGAATAAGCATTATGACCCATGACCTTTGGTCTGGCTTTGATACCAAATTGAAACATGTGCTCCATCTCAACTAAAAGCTTAAGCTGATAGTTGGATTGCACATTAATGGCTATATGCTCAACACTCCCCTCCCGGAAGTGCAATATTTGATCTCAACGTCTAGTGATTTCATCGTTTGATGAGATAATTTGGTAGTCTTTGTTGCACACATCCAACTGTTATCTCCTATGAGTAACTTTACATCCCGAATTTTTCTCCAGGTGGTTTCAGTGAAATTAGATGAGTGGACACATGAGCAAGTTGATATTTTAACTGAGATGGGCGGAAATAATGTTGCAAACTTGAAGTACGAAGCTGCCTTTCCAGAAAATTATAAAAAGATAAAGCCGGATTCGTCCACCGAAGAGCGCAATGACTTTATCAGGTAATAATATTTCAATCTCATCGTTCATATGTAATATATGTTTCTATGCTGAAAATTTCTCGTAGTCAATGCTCAGGAGAAAATACGAGCTGCAACAGTTTGTGAATTCCGATTTACATTTGATGTGCCCGCTTCCAACAACTTCTTCTAGTTCAACCTCCGAGAAGAAACATTCGGGTGGCCATCGAATCCATGGTCTGGGATTTGCATTTCGCAACAGCTGGAGAAAGAAAGAGTCCGACACCCAGAAGGCGACTAGGAAAAGTAACTCAATGGTATGTTATTATGCTGCAAGGATTTGTGTCTAATGTAGTCAAGGCTTTATAACTAAGATTGTTCGAGGAACATAAAGAAAGTTCATTGATACATTAAATATTACAGAGTTTTATGCTAAAATATTTGATCTAATATCTCAGTTCAATAAAAACAAATGAACAGCTCGATATTATTTTGGGCATTTTTCTATAGGCAGGTATGGTTGAATTCATCGGACTGATCAAAGTGAATGTGGTAAGGGGCACCAACCTAGCTATCCGTGATATGGTATCCAGCGATCCTTATGTTATTCTAACCTTGGGAAACCAGGTAAATCTCTCGGTTGCATTTCATATCAGCGAGAGCTTAAAAGAGCTCTACATTATTGTATTCTTTCAAGTCGTGACATCTTTTTTCCTTGCAGTCAGTGAAGACGCGCGTCATAAAAAACAATTTGAACCCGGTGTGGAACGAGCAACTAATGTTGTCAATTCCAGAGAACGTCCCTCCTCTAAAAGTGGTAGGCTCATTTAATCTAAGAGTTAATTCCACCAGAGGTCCCTTGTCTTTGGTGACAATTTCAAATTTTTAGTCCCAGACTATCGTTTTTGCCATTTAACATTCCAGACTATTATTTTTTGGACACTTTTAGCCCTTCTCATGATTTTTCCTATTTTTAGTAAGGGTATTTTTGTCTTTTCATATTTTTCTTGTGTTATTTTTTGAGTTTCAACCTGTTTAATTGGTTTAGGACTTTACTAAAAACCGGTTGAAAAATATGGTTACTAAAAATCAGAGGTTACCTAAAGTTTTAAACCGATTAAATCAGTTGAAACCGAAAAAATAACAAAAGAAAAATATGAAAAGACAAATATGCCCTTACTAAAAGTAGGAAAAGTCATGAAAAGGACTAAAAATGTCCAAAAAAACAATAGTCTGGGATGTTAAATGGCGAAAACGATAGGCTGTGACTAAATTTGGAATTGCCACGAAAGACAAGGGATCTCTGGTGGAATTAACTCTTTAATCTATAATATCCTGCGATTTTTCATCTTTTTGAAATAGATTAGATAGGGTGCTGTGGAACTGAACTGTACTTCAAGTCACCAACTAGTGTTGAAATGATTTTGCAGCATGTGTTTGACAAGGATACATTTACGACAGATGATTTTATGGGGGAGGCGGAGATCGACATCCAACCTCTCCTCGTGGCTGCGAGAGCATCTGAGAATTCCACCAAGAACGATCCGGTGCAGCAGCAGCCCCGGACACCAAAGAAAGCGGAAACAGAAAACGCCATGCCCCCGCCCCTGCCCCTGCCCCCGCCCCCACTTCCACCAGATGGCACTATAAACCTCGCAGAAGGTACAGTGAGGCAGGAAATAGTCTTAAAGCTGCAGAATGTTGAGAGGGGAGTGTTGGAGGTTGAGCTTGAATGTGTGTCTCTCTCACAATAGTTCACAAAGTTAAACTGAAAACAAAATCCATTTGCATTTGCACTACAGATATCATATGATAGCTTATTTTGCTTCAGAAACAGTTTGGGAAAATTTTTGCAGCCTCTGCTGAGTTAGTTGTTGCTTCTAAGCTGCAATTAATCTCAGAGATACTGGGGGGATACCTTTGACCTAGAAACAGTGTGCAATATAATGATGTTTGTTTGATGGATGGAGGGGATCCATTTTTAGATTTTCTATGTAAATTAAATAAATTCATTAGTTAATGCAATTACTAACAACTCCTTGTGAATGTACTGGTAATATTTTCTTTGGATTCATTTTTAAATGTAATTTTAGTCCTTTAGTTGTATGTAAATACTTATATAGACTATTATGCAAATACTATTCATATTTTATATCAAAAAAAAAATAGTAAGCTTGATCTTTAGTACGATTATATTTGATTGACTTACTTTTTATCAAACAATAAAGTTACTGTTGTAAATAGATTTATGGTGGACATTAATAATAGCTTTGTAACGTCTGTAACGGATGTAATTATTCTCTATTATTATCATGGTTGCAGTAAGCGCTAGGCGCTAGTCGGGCGCCCGGACAGCGCCTAGGCGGAATCTAGGCGGGCGCCAAAAAAACAGTGGTAGACTTGCAATTTCACAATTTTAATGAGGTTATTTTCAACATTTAATCAAATAACACATCCAAATAAATGAATTTAATGATAATTCTTAAGTCATAACATCAAAACAATGGTTTTTTTTTTTAAAAAAAACATTAAAACAATATTAAAAATTAAAAATACTCAAATACTTCAATCATCCAAAGATTCAAAGTATCAAACTAGTCTACGAGTGTATATATGTCATTATATATATGTATGCGCGCGTGCACACACACACACACACACACACACACACACACACACACACACACACACACACACACACACACACACACACATATATATATATATATATATATATATATATATATATATATATATATATAATAGGCCGAGCCGATTGGGTTAACTCAACCGAAATGGACGAGTTAACTCGACTAACTTAGACGCTAGGCGGCCAAATCGGCCGAGTTAGGCGCTAGGCGGCCAAATCGGCCGAGTTAGGCACTAGGCGGGCGCCTAGGGGGGAAATCGTCACGGTTTAGAGGCACCTAGCGCCTAGGCGGGCGCCTAGACCGATTTTTACAACCCTGATTATTATATCTCTTCATTGTATCTTGTATATATAGATCACTGTACTATGATGAAGATAAGGAATAAGATGATCCTGACCTTTCCCTCTCCACTCTCTGTCTTTTTCTGTTTAACAGTTACAATATAAATCCATAATAATTAGGATTGGAAATTAGTCATTATTATTGTGAAATTAGACGAATCCCGGGGCATAGAGCCCGTCGCAACGCACAACGCCTGTGTGGTCGGGCCCTCATTATATTCCGCGGATCAGCCTTTACTCACATCTGAGTCAATTTGGGCCAATCTGGTTTCACCCTGTCGTGAGCCAATTTGGTTTCGCCCTGTCCAAAACTAACGACAGGCTCCACATCTGAAAGCGGCAACAGCTCCCTACCAGTTGTGCCCTTTGAATGCAACCAGTTGTGCCCTTTGAATCGCAGGCTCTCCAAACTCGGATCGGTGTGCCTAATTCGGCCAGACCCTAGCATCTAACACAGAACAACCCTTAACGCTATTCAACCATATGGCTGCCCACATAATAAATATTTTATATTATATGTACAAAAAAAAAAGATATGTTTGCAAAGATATCCTTACCTACTTTGTTGTAGGTAGAGAAAAAAACCTAGTCTTTCAACCACCAGAAGTGGGTTGTTGAGAGGGATTGTACTAAATACTAATACAAGTTATTGTCGCCACGCCACTCTCCGATTCACCCCTTTCAATCTACCAAATTCAATTCAAAGGTCTGCGCAGACACATTCTCTTCGACGACGGTTCTCTCCGTCGTCTCTCACCGCCTCTGGTCCGCCCTCGCCGTCAGACCTCACTTCATCGACTCAGCGGCTCTGCGGGCCTCACCTCAGCCCGTCTCTGCTTCACTGAGTCAGTCAGTGTGACTCTAAGGTTCAAAGTAAGTTTTCATTTTTTACTTTATAGAAAAAGGAAAATCTAGTAACTTGCTGCTCTGGTTGGTTTGTCGAGGATCATTAATTTATCTAAACTGCTACTGCTCCAAAACCTAATCCCTGCATTTTTCGATCTTGATCAATTGTTGATGAGCTTATTTTATTTTATTTTTATGTTTCAATTTGTATCGTTTGTTTGTTGATTTTTAAATTTGTTCTTGTGTTAAGCTGTTAACTAAATCTAATTTGCGTCTCATCATTTAGTGCTTATTATTGGCTAGAGTCATAATTCAGTTTACATCATCAGAGCTTGAATGCCAGCATGGTAATAACATAACAATAGGTGAAGAAACATTTGGCCTATACGAATTATTAGGATTGCATAAAAAATAGTTTTAGTTGTTTACCTTTTATTTTTACATATTAAAATTAATAAAAGGGATTAACAACCCTAAGTTCTCCAGCTCCTAGAAATATTCTTCTTCCCCAGATTGCACGGTATAAAGCTCCATAAGAGATCTAAGAAATGGTTAATCTTCACCCAATTCAAGCCAACGACCGTCCTCACAATACTCTGCCACTTTCAGCATTATTGATTGTTGCAAGAACAAATTTTGTAGTACTGGTTGTGGTATGATGACTTATTTATAGTGTTGAAGTAGGTGTAGATGTTCTAAATATTGATTTTGAATTTTAAATTCATCTCCAATCAATTAATGTTAGTCTTGGAGATGGTAAAAGTCATTTGCACTTCAAAACATGTGAGTTTTGATATTTGTAAGTATTCTTTGTTTTTTGCAGTAAATGTAAACACAATAATTGCACAATTAATGTCTTACAAATTTATCAAAACTACGTCCGGGAAAAGATCTGGCTTTATTATAGATAGGATTAGATAGGATAGGATATTTGGGCGGGAAAATGCTTCTTTCTCTTTTTGACAGAACATTTTGTTTTTATATATGTATAGATAGATTGATTTTCTTTTGTATGTATTCTGTTGCTGAAAGTATTATAGTATTATACTGATTATAATATGCATATATAATATATATTTTATATTATATGTACATACAACATAAAATAATGTGTTAAAATAACTTTTTTTAGTAATTTAATTGTTTATAACATTATCAAAATGTTGATTATTTTTATTGAAATTAGTAATTAAATAAGATGATGTTTGCAAAGATATCCTTACCTACTTTTTGTTGGTAGAGATAAAACGAGTCCACCTGCTCAACCAGAAGTGGGTTGTTGAGAGGGATTGTACTAATACAAGTTCTTGTCGCCACGCTACTCTCTGATTCACCCCTTTCAAGCTACCCACCTACCAAATTCAATTGAAAGGTCTCAAGCTCTGTGCAGTGGGAGGATATGGCACACATGATGCAGGGTCTGCGTTTGAATCCCACCAATCTATCCAAACCTCAGACCCCTCTGCCTTCGCGGTCGCTTTTGTTGGGGTCGAGCAGCCTGAAGAAATCAGCTGTTTCTGTTAAGTTCTTGAAGAGTAATAAAGATTCGATTTTTACTGCCACCCGGTTGCCGTTACAGGTCAGGGCATCGGTGGCCACCACCAAAAAGCCATCGAAGGCGCCGGAGGAGATTGTGCTGCAGCCCATCAAAGAGATCTCCGGCACCGTCAAGTTGCCTGGCTCTAAATCCCTCTCCAATCGCATTCTCCTCCTTGCTGCTCTTTCTCAGGTATACCTACTGCTTCCAGCCCCCCCCCCCCCCCCCCCCCCACCCCCCCCCACCCCCCCTTCTCTCTCTCTCTCATCCTATATATACAGTTGATATATGCACGCATAATTCTTTTAACTTCACTATATATGAGGTCTTGTTTAGGAGGATTCTGAGGTTTCAATTGGGTTGCATTAGTTGAAAGGTTTCAGCTTTTTGCTGGATGTCTTGTTTAAGAGGATTCTGAGGTTTCTATTGGGCTGTATTAGTTGAAAGATTTCAGCTTTATAATAGTAGTTTTAGCAATCACAAAGAGATTTTTGAATTTCACACTGTAAACATCATAGGATCAGACATGGCTGTTTTTCCTAGGGGTATAAGGTTGTTTGATCAGACATGATGCATTTACTGTTATTACCTATCAGTGATCATTAAAGATTATGCTTTCAATACATTTACTGTTATTACCTATCAGTGATCATTAAAGATTATGCTTTCATTCTTTGTTCTGTTCTATATGCTTTTCCATTAATTTACCTTGTGCATTATTGTCTGATTCTGCATAATGAACTCAGGGAACAACTGTGATAGACAATTTACTAAGCAGTGATGATATTCATTATATGCTCGGTGCTTTGAGAACACTTGGTCTTCGTGTTGAAGAAGATAGCGCAATCCAGCGAGCAACTATAGAAGGTTCGGGTGGTCTCTTCCCTGCCAGTAAGGAATCCACAGATGAAATTCAACTTTTCCTTGGAAATGCTGGAACAGCAATGCGACCATTGACTGCTGCAGTTGTTGCTGCCGGTGGAAATGCAAGGTTTTAAAACATTCTTCCTCTCGTGTATATTCGATCTTGATTGAAGCAATATAGTTTAGATTTTAGAATGTGCTCTTTTAGAGTTTTGCATGGTTGATTGCTCAAGGGTTGCTATCGTAAAATTTGGCATTGTTAATAGAACAATTTTCTTCATTAGCATTGGGTCTTATCTGATTGCTAATTCTTTTGGTCTACTTATTATCATTAGGTACGTCCTTGATGGAGTTCCTAGGATGAGAGAGAGACCAATTGGTGATCTTGTTGAAGGTCTAAAGCAGCTTGGAGCAGATGTTGATTGTTTCCTTGGGACAAACTGTCCCCCGGTTCGTGTAATTGGAAAGGGTGGCCTTCCAGGAGGGACGGTGAGACTTATGTTCCATTATAATATAATTTCGGTCTATATAAGGAACGTGTCCTTAATTATCCTTGCATTAGACTGCATAATCTGCCACTATAATTGTAGCCCAGAACTTGTAAGTTGTCTAATTCCGACTAATCCTATGGCCTTTGTTAACAGGTGAAACTCTCAGGATCAGTTAGCAGCCAATATTTGACTGCTCTGCTGATGGCCGCTCCCCTGGCTTTAGGAGATGTGACAATTGAAATCGTTGATAAACTAATTTCTGTTCCTTACGTTGAAATGACTATTAAGTTGATGGAGCGGTTTGGGGTCAGTGTAGAGCATAGTGACAGCTGGGACAGGTTCTTGATCCGCGGAGGTCAGAAATACAAGTAAGTTTTGCGTTACTGCTGATAGTTACAACTTCATTTTTCAAATTTGAAATTTACGATGTACGAAACTTTTCATCGTCAGGTCTCCCGGTAATGCTTTCGTGGAAGGTGATGCTTCGAGTGCGAGTTATTTCTTAGCCGGTGCAGCTGTTACTGGGGGTACTGTTACCGTTGAAGGTTGTGGAACAAGCAGTTTACAGGTATAGCTATTCGCTAACCATTATGATATGATGATATTGAAATGATTTATGTACGTTATGCTTTGTTCTCTTTCTATTCTCGAGAGAATTGAATCAGTTTATATTTGTTTTTCTTTTCATTTAGGGGGATGTTAAGTTTGCTGAGGTTCTCGAGAAGATGGGAGCCGAAGTTTCCTGGACAGAGAACAGTGTTACCGTGAAAGGACCACCACGTGCCCCTTCGGGAAGAAAACACTTACGTGCCATTGATGTCAACATGAACAAAATGCCAGATGTTGCCATGACTCTTGCTGTAGTTGCGCTATTTGCTGACGGTCCGACAGCCATAAGAGACGGTATGTAATCTTCTGATATGATACATACAGATATATTAGGTAGGTAATATTCCGTGAACTTCTAATGAAAGTGGAACTTAATGCGATTTAACTTGCTCGAATTCCATGTATATTTATGTTTACGCTGTTCTTACTTCACTACATACGGTTATCTGCCTGATTTCAGAAGTTCATAATCTTGTTTCTTTCATCGTTCATAGTTGCGAGCTGGAGAGTTAAGGAAACCGAGCGGATGATTGCTGTATGCACTGAACTTAGAAAGGTCGACTTCCAATCCTAGTTATGTTTGTTCTGTTATTCCTTCTTCTTTTTGTTGAGCATATAACCATTAATGTGCAATCCAACTATTAGCTTAAGATTTTAGTTGAGATGGAGCACATGCTTCAATTTGGTATCAGAGCCAGACCAAAGGTTATGGGTTCAAATCTCTACGTCACCCGATAAGCGACTACGTGCTTCAATTCTTTTTGTGTTTCTTACACGTGCAATTTGGTTGGAATCCAGCTGGGAGCGACAGTCGAGGAAGGGCCAGACTACTGTATAATCACGCCACCCGAGAGACTAAACGTGACAGAAATCGACACGTACGACGATCACAGAATGGCCATGGCGTTTTCTCTTGCTGCTTGTGCAGAGGTACCAGTCACCATTAAAGATCCTGGTTGTACCCGCAAGACTTTCCCAGATTATTTCGAGGTCCTTCAGAAGTTCTCCAAGCATTAAAGGTTTCCTTTTCATCGATTTTGGAAGGTAGAGAACGGTGTTAGTTGAAAGAGTTACTCGGAACTACCATGTTCCTCTTAGTTATGGTTAAACATCAAGAATGTGTACTGTGTTCTTTATTCATGTTTCCAGATCTGTTATAACTGGTCTGAACAAAGACCATTTTGAATCTCAATATTGTATTTGGAGTTATGGTTCTTGTATTATACTGATTGAATGGAAAGTTAATCTTAGTGTGAGTAGTTCAAATTTACACACTTCTTTGATTTGGTCATCATCTTCAACCTCTCACTCACACACACACTCACTCTCTCACTTTCGGGACCAAATTAGTAATTTTGCTATAGTCAAGTGACCATTTCAGTAATTAACTTTCGGAGAAAAGAGTGCAAGTGATGACCGAAATGGTTCCTTCACTATAGCAAAATTATCAATTTGGTCCCGAGTTAGCAGATGTCTAACGGTTAGGATCATTTTGGGTAAAAAAAGCATAGTTAGGAACTAAATTGAGAAATTTTGAAAGTCGAGGACCAGATTGGTAAAATCCTTATAATCGAGGGACTAAATCGGTAATTAACTTCATTTTTTTTTATTGATTTTGATAAGAGGTTTACAGCTTTTGGCCAAAGGTTTATAGGATTAAAGGAGTCAATTGTATAAGTTTTACAAGTTAATGGTTTCAATTGTAGATTTTATAGTACGATGATATTTTTTTTATTTTTTTTTGGGGAGAATGTATGGATGGATAATATCCCTATTTGGTTGTGTGTTTGTTATATGTTCAAGTGTTATGGAAAAAGATTGTGAGTTGCAATTTTTATTGGGTTTCATATTATAACACTAAATGTTGAGTCATGTCTAAGGTAAATTGTGACAAAAATTAGAAAGATTATTTAAAAGTTGTCTTCATGCTTTGCCAACATTAATTGATGTGAATATTGGAAGTTTTAACATCTTTAAATCTCGACATTTCTTCATATTTACTTCTTTGTTATGTTCTCATAACCCCCATTATGAGGCATGAGAAATACTATGTTATGCTAATCAACATTTTATTTATTTTACCCTATTTGCATATTAATTTTTATAAATAACCAAGTTTTAATATAAAATGACAAGATGTTAATTTTTACTAGTTAATTAAAAATAACATCTAAACAAGATATTTATATTGTGTTAGCTGATTTGATCAACTGATTGCATTAGTTGGTTATAAAAAGATGGTTGATAAATTAGCTTTTTACTATTACCTGGTTGCATGTAAAATGACTAATAAGGACACATTTGACCAATTGATTTTATTAGTTGGTTATAAGAAAGATAGTTGGTAAATTAACTTTTTACTATTAGCTGGTAGGACATTATTATTATTATTTTTATTTTATTTATTTTATTTTATTATTATTATTATTGTTATTGTTATTGTTATTGTTATTATTATTGTTATTGTTGATAGTACTAATTCCCGGTTGTACTCGTAGAGTATGCAGGATGTGTACCGTATGTATACGTGTGTGTATGAAATGAATGTAGAATGTGTATGAACGATGAGGTTTTTTATTCAAAGTGTTCTTTGTATGCCTTCTAGAGAGATGAAGGAGGATCTTGTAGAGAGAGAGGGTGGAAATGGGAAAAAGCTCCTAACTTGAAAGGCTAAAGGCCCTTTTATAGGTCAAAGGTTTGGGCGGGTTTGAGCCGCTACTTTTGACCTTGACCCACTGACTATGACCATAACCTGAACCATTTGATCCCGACCCAAACAGGAGCACGGAGTGTACGGGGAGCTTGACCCCGGGGTATATTCCCCATCAATTGTTATTATTATTATTATTAAAAGAGTGAATTTGAAATCATAACAAATTATTGAGGCCAAAATATAATTATACAAAATATGACAAATAAAAAGCAAATGCCCTACGAGCATCCTCATCCGTTCTTGATTTTTCACGATTTTTGGAGTGTCATTAGGAAAGAGATATGAGGGCAAGAAAAAAGGGGGAAAAAAAAAGGCCGACAACAAATTAAAAAAAAAAAAAAAACTGAAAAAGTGTATAAAAACGCGCCTAGTAGGCGCGTGCATACTTGTTGCACTCCTTGCGCTTCACGCCCGGAAATTCCTCTGTTGTTTTCTCTTTTCTCTCACATGGCAGGCCCCACAAAAAATACATTTTGCAGGAAAAAAAAAACCCTCCCAAAAACCATCTTCCCATTTGTTATTTTTTTTTTCCTGTGCAAAAACTCCAAGAAATGCATTGGTGATTTGGTGTAGATGCTCTAATTAAACTTGCATTCCACTTCCCTTTACCTCCATTTGCGGCGAGAGCAACTCACAGCGGTGGAAATGGAGCATCATCAACGACAGTGATTTGGGAGTTCGAAATTGAGGGATGGTGAGAATCCGAAGAAAGAAGAAAAGATATTCGAGTTTGTTGTAGAAAATCTTAGTACACAAATTACGTTATTATTATTATTTTTTGTTCGGTTTTCTGTGTATCTCCGTGGCTTTCATTGCTCGATTTTGCAGTAGAACACCTCAGTACCTACAAAAATTGCATATTCTTCTAGCGTTTTTTCCACTTTTGGTCCTATGACTTTAGTGTCTCCGTCAATTTAGGTTCACAACTTTCATTCCTGACATAAGTAGTGCTTGACTTTGATTTTTTTTACATTTTTAGTCCTTCCGGTCATCTGAGCGGCGAGTTTCAATCGTAAATAATGAATTGCCTTGTATATTTAGATTTTAGAAGGGTAAATAAGTCTTTCACCATTAATTAAACAATAAATAAAAGAAAAATGAAAAATTAAAGTCATCCGCTCATCTTCTTCTTCCACCTTTGTCCATTTTACTTTCTGGGAGAAATCATCTGTAATAGCTAATAGTAGCAAGATCATACTCCAAGCAATCCTCAGTTGAGAATCCAGACACATCTACATGAAAGATGGAGAACAGATTGTAAATCTCAAAAAGCTTAAATGGTAGGTGAATGTTGTATCACAAACAAGTATAGAACTAACTTAACCTGTTTGCTTTGTTGTAGTAATTTGTTTCTTGGCTTTTGTAGTTCTCACAAAACAGAAGATTGCAATGAAGAGTATAATCCCAACAACGACAGGAACTACAATGGCAATTATCACTTCTGAAGATGAATTTCCACTGTTTCCTGCATCAACAGAGATAGACTACAGTACTGATCGAATTGGTGTTGAAAGGATGAATCCATCACAACCTTAACATAAACTAATTCTTAAATTCTTAAAACAGAGAAAATACCCAAAACATCAGATTACAGATATATATGAACCAAGAAAACTTTACCTTCACCGGTGGGAGGAGGAGGAGGGATTGGAGGCGGAGGCGCAGAGGCGGCTGTGTTATTATAGAAAGGGTACTTCTCATACCTAATATTACAGTCTGGGGTGATAGTTCTAGCACCCACTGCCGGAGTTTCCAGTTGTTGGATACTGCTTCTTAGGCATGTCCGGCAATCCAAGTCGGAATGATCCGGCCGGCACAGCCCAAGCCTGTAGATACTCTCAGATGCAGATACGGTGAGAAGAAGATGAGATGTTGATTTTAATTTTTCTTTTTTCTTTTGTTTATTGTTTAATTGATGGTAAAAGACTTATTTATCCTTCTAAAATTTAAATGTACAAGGCAATTCATTAATTCTGATTGAAACTTGCAGCTCAGATGGCCGGAAGGACTAAAAATGGAAAAAAAATCAAAGTCAAGCACTACTTACGTCAGGAATGAAAGTTATGAACCTAAATTGACAGAGACACTAAAGTCATAGGACCAAAAGTGGAAAAAACTCTATTCTTCTATTTCATTTTTGGGTTTGAATCTCGGTGTTTTGTGCTTATGCCGCTCGATTTTGTAATAGAAATCTCAATACAAAAATGATTTTCATGTCTTTTGTTTTGAGTTTGATTTTCTATGTTATTTGGGCTTCCACGGCTTAATCTTTGTCGTAGAAACTAGAAAATATATGTAAAAATGTTTTTTCTTCACTCTTGTTTTTTAGATAGATTTTCATGGCATTTTGTGGTGAATCTACAATGGGGGCAGATTAGTCTTAAAAATAAAAAGATAAAAAAGGTGAATGAAAATACTGCTCAAAGTAGCATTTCTAATTTCAGCTGTTTGGGACAATCAACTCAAAGAAAAAACTATTTTACCAAACACCCATTTTAACTGATTGATTAAGTCAAACAGCCAAACTTAATCAAATAAGCTGAAAAATAACTGATTAGCCACTATCCAAAGACCCTCATATATTTGCTTTGGTCGCATGCATTTACAAGGTTGTTCATGGAGTCAAAGACTACTAAACTTAGCTTGATAATGGCCCTGTTTGGTAAAAAGTTGGCCTATAGGTCAATTTTGGCTTATTTGATCACTATTAATTGTTTAATTTAGTTAAAATATCAATATAAATGTTTGGTTAATTAGCTTTTTGCAACTCTAAAATGCTAAAATTGAAAAAGCTACCCCAAACAACTTTTTCAATTAGCTTTTTGAGAAAAGAAATTATACCAAACAGCTAACAACTAACAGCTAATTTACCAAACACTTTTTTACAATCATCTAATGTTATCAACTATTTATACCCTCTAATTAACACAATCAGCTAATAACTAACAGCTATCAGATAACAGCCAATATGGCATGTACTCATGAATGAACCCTATCATATATTAACTACTCTCGGGATAGTTATGCTGTGGGCTCGTGCCCAGCGTGCATCATGGGCACGGTAACGGTGCCGTCAAGCACCGTTATCTTCCTCCTTTTTTTTTTTTTTTTTTTTTTTTAAATTTAATTTCAGACCGCTTCGTTATAGGAGCATATATTCACAGCTTTGTGTTCATAATTTCATAACTGTACATTCATAATTCCATAACTGTACATTCATAATTCTATAACTGTACATTCATAATTCCATAACTGTACATTCATAATTCAATAACTGTAAATTCATAATTTTCGAAGCTCTATGTTCATAATTGTAAGTTCATAATTCCATAACTATACATTCATAATTCTATAACTGTACATTCATAATGTCATAACTGTATATTCATAATTTCATAACGAATATGCCGTTAATGGCGTTTCGAACAAATTTTTTTTTATAGTTAAAACAGCGGAAAACGACGCCGTTTTAGCACCGTGCGCATAGCATAATTTGCCCTACTCTCAACATGAATGATATTCAAGCCCAATAAGAGTTTACGAAACACAACAATCATCACATATTTCTAAGATATGCATGTATAAACCTATAGTTGAGACAAACATACATATCCTTCATTCTAATATCAAAGTCGACCCAATACACAATCGTTATACCTTGCACCACTGTGCACATAGCACTGTGCGTTCCGTACCTCCCAAAACGACGTCGTTTTGGTAAGTTATGTAGGGAGTTAACGTGATTATGTGTATTTGTTTATACAATTATGTGTATTTTGTTTATACAATTATGTGTATTCTAGTATAAAATTATGTACATTTTTTAACATGAATTTTTTTAAAAAGAAAACTAACCGCCAACACAGGGTAGCGAAAATTTCAAAAAAAAAAAAAAACTAAAACGATGTCGTTTTGCATCAGGGCGCACAATGCACTGCGCACCTGGTGCACGATATAAATTTCCCCCTATACAAGAGGACAAATTATACCATGGACCAAGGTCCACCTTGCATTGTGGACTTAATCCAAAATGACTACATTCAAATTATGTGTTTGCAGTTAACATATTAAGTGCATGTAAATAAATTGAAGTCGTATAATATGTTAACTACAAACACATAATATGTTAACGGCAAACACATAATATATTAACTGCATATTATGTGCTTGCAGTTAATATATTATGCACATGTAGTTAACAACTGGCCAAATATTTCCTTAAGAACTCGAATTGTGTAATTAAACCCCTAGCCCCAACCCTCATGTCTTCAAACACAAATACATCAATTCTCACACACACACACACACACACATATATATATATATATATATATATATATATATATATATATATATAGCTCAATCTCTACCACTTTATATTATAGACATCATTCCAAAAGTAGTCAAATAATGTTTTTCATTGTGTAAAAGATTGACAATCTGGAAAAAAATTGGCTTTCTGATCTGGCCAGGCTTCAAATATAATATATAATGCTCTGCCGAGCCGGAATATGGGGGGCAATTGGGGTTGGGAATTAACCTTTGGGGAACAATAATGCATGCAACTCGATCAAACTAATAATTGGGAATAGTAATAATATAATTTATTATGAGTCGCAGCAAATAGGACAACGAACCAAGCCGTTTTCATTGCACTCCGGGCATTTCCTGAGCAGGCCTTGGTCCTCGTCGAACAGTTTCCGGCTGCCGTCGCAGTTGCAGCAAGGGATGAAGCGCACGTCGCCGCAGCATTGACACACGTACCCGGGCGGCCGCGTAAGGAGCCCTCTCAGCAATCGGACAAGCTCCCCTGTCTCGTTCAATTGCTTGATCACTTCCGCGCCGCCGATGTGCTTGCCCTTGATGAAGATCTGCGGCAGCGTCGGATTCTTCTCCCCCAGCACGTTCTGCAGCTCCTTCTTGTACGCTTTGTCCATTGAAATGTCCCTCTCGTCCAGATTCACTCTGAAACCCTTCACGATCATCCGCGCCGTGTAGCAGTCCTCGAACGTCCTCCGGATTCCGCGGAGGCTGGTGAAGTAGATCACGACTCTGTCCTCCGTCCCCGGTAACCGCCACGGCGAATCCAACAGATCGGAATTCAAGGATTTGCTGGATCGGGGCGGGGTTTTCACCGGGGACCAAGGAGACGGCAGGGATCGCGAATTGGGCGACCCGCTAGGGGTCCGAGGCTCGAATATGGAGCGAAGCCTCCGGACATTATTGCCCTTGTAAGAACTATTCGCCATGGATATCACCTGGAAACCTTGCACCTTTTTAAATATGAATGAGGCCTTTTGGGGGGATTCAGACAGATCGCAGCCTCCGAACCTTGCACCTTCGTTTCCTTTTCTTATTGTGCTCACAGGCGATCCATCTTCCCTACTGGCCATCAAATATGGAACACAGAATTATCGAAAATTCCAGATCCGATCTTTCCCTTTTTCTTTTATAAACAATTGCGGAATCAAGATCCAAACGATCTATAGATTTTCCGGCGAACCTCCGGGAGTTTTTCTTCAATTTTTTTTTTTTTTTGGATTTTCTATAATTCTATGTTGGTAATTTGATGGCCGGTAAAAGGAGGATGGATCAATACACTCCTAGAAAACGTACTGTAAAATCGGTAAGAATACATTGTGGGGCGACCATTTTTGGCCGTTAAAACTGAATCTTTGTTTACCCGCGTTTTTTTCAAACAACGTAGCGGTGCTACTTTACTCGCCTAGTGTTGAAGCGGACGGGGTTTGAATAAATAAATCGTGAAACAATTGGAACAATTTGAGTCTCTCATTTTTTATTGGTTTATATTATAATCATTCCTTGTTCAATAATATAAATCGGGGTATGAGTTGATTCAATGCCATTTTTTTTTATGCATGCATTACGTATCACTAACTTATGTCCAATTAATTTTAAACCATGCATAAAGCTTTTTTTTTTTTTTTTTTTTTTAATGTATTAAGTATTCCTAACTTACGTCGAATTAATTCAAAGTCGTAAAATCCCTGTTAATAAATCGTGAGTCACTAAATCAGTTCTCACAATTGTTGGAGAAAATCGTGAGTTGATCCGTCAGTTCTCAGATTCTTACCTTTGTGTAAAGGGACCAACGACCTTGTGGTCTAGTGACATGTCTCCCAAATGGGAGGTCATGCATTCGCCCCTAATAGAGGCGATATTGACTCTTTGTACTTCAGTAAGTTGTGACAGAGCCTTAAGCTTACATGCCTCTTGGTCTAGTGGATTGTGGTCTTTAATTTCTACAGTAACATCAGGGTTTGATTCTCCGTGACTACAACATTATTTCTAGTCCTCTATTTGGACTATAGTATTTATTGTTTATCTATTCCGTGAGCTATTATCTCGGGCATTGTACATATTATATTGGGCTAGACTTTTCCGAACAACAATACTACTATTTTTCTATTTATATTTTGTACTTGCATGCATACTTGGTTTATGATAGACTCGATCCTTATAAAATCATCATACTACATCATTATAATTGCAACTTAAACCTATTTTCTTTATATTCTTACAATCGCAACGTGACTCACTCAAAATATATAATATAATATAAATATTAATATTAATATTAATATTATCATTTATTTTTTAAAACTAAAGTATAAGCTCTTACAAGAAAATTTTAAATCAAATCGAACACTATACTTTCAATTCTGATTACATGGCTTCCATTTGTTACAAGTGCTTTGTGGGAATGCACTCAATCTTTAATAATGTAAATTGAAAGATATAATGAGTAAATACTATCTTTTCACAAAAAATAAAAAAAAATAAAAAAAAAATAAAAAAAAAGAAGAAGAAGAAGAAGAAGAAGAAGAAGAAGAAGAAGAAGAAGAAGAAGAAGAAGATAGGGAAATCACCATTTTAGTCCCTTAATTGTTTTCTAACTATTAGTGTAGTTCATAATTTTTATTTTCAACTAATTTGATCCTCAAATTGTTTAAAATTTTGTCAATTAAATCCTTTTAGAGATCAAATTGATAAAATTTTAAAAATGTGAAAATTACCATTTTGGTCCCTGAAAGAGTTTAATTGACAAAATTTTAAACAATTCAAAGATCAAATTGGTTGAAATTGAAAATTAAGAATTACATTAACAGTTGAAAAACAATTAAGGTACCAATGCAAAATGATAATTAACTCTTTCAAAATTTGTTTTACAATTGTCTTACCTTTATTAAGTTTATCTATAGTCAGGTGTTTCGTGTGAATGCACTCCATCTTTAAAGGAAAACTCAATATATTTTTTTTTTGAAAGTCAACCTGGCGGTTGTATTTATAGAAGAGTTAAAATAGAGTCTGGTGGGACATTGTCCCAGTACATAGCAGTAGCGAAACTAAGTGCTGAAGTAGCTAAAGTATGAGCTAATAAATTCTGTAATCTAGGAATGTAAATTACTGAACAATAAGTAAAGGTAGATATATAGGTTCTGCAACTATCAATAGCATAACCTAAATACGAGCGTGATGTGGCTGGTGGTCCAGATAAATAGCTCTGTAGTTGTTGACAATCCGTATGAATCTATATAGATAGTTCATTCATCCTTTTAAGCCATGATAATACCTCTTTGCATGCCAATGTCTCGGTCATGAGCGGTGAGTGGCAACCTGTTAGTGGGGCGCTGAAAGCAGATATGTAGCGGCCATTGGTGTCGAGGAGTACCGCACCAGCAGCTGTTGCATTGGTTCCTCGATGATAACTCGCGTCCATGTAGCATTTGACGGGCGTCATCATCTCGTCAATCGCGGTTTCCGGAACGGTGGCGTGCGGCAGAGGCAGTCCGGTCTCGGCAGTTCCTGCGTTCGGTCCAAGTAGCGTCAGTGGTTGCTGTTCGGCAGTAGGGAGCCGGCCGCTGTTCGGGGCTGTGACGGGGCCCGATGGTGAATATCCTTCCATGCTTTCATTGTAACTGCTGCAATTGTCAATAATTTCGTTGGCCTTAGTAGACAGGCATCCCATACCGCTCCGTTTCGGGCCCTCCAAAGGTGGTATAAAATTGCAGCTGCATAAACAATTCCATCAAAGTCTAGAACATTCAAGATTGCACTAAACCATTCATGGAAAATATTTGTGACAATATTGGGGATTGGAAGGTTGGATTTTGCCCAAATGGAGTGTGCATAGTCACACAAAACTAATGCATGCATGGTATCTTCATTCACATTCCCACACATGGCACACATTGGGTTAACATCCACTTTCTTTATAAGCAAATTGTTGGTGGTAGGAAGGATATCACAAATAGCTCTCCATAGGAATGTCTTCCACTTTGGTGGAATTTTTAATTTCCATAGGGCTAGCCATTCATTAAAAATTCCATTAGAATTATTCTCATAATTCCCAACTATACGTCTGTAACCACTCTTGACTGAATAAGTTCCATTAGGATCACCATACCAATACCATATATCATCATACTCAGGGGCAACTGGTATACTCTGAATTCTGGATATATCACTCGGTTGGAAAATATCAGCTAATATATGTGGATCCCAGGTGTCCGTATCTTGATCAATTAATCCTTTTACTTTGGCCCCAGACAGGTATTGTGGCATTTCTGTGTGAATCATAGGATCCAGTTCATCATGCAGCCAGGGATGCTCCCATATTAAGGTAGAATTCTCATTCCCAATTCGTCTTCTTATGCCACCACATACTAGATCCTTAGCCGCCATGATACTGCGCCAACAAAAACTTGGATTATTTCCTATAGTTGCCTCTAGGAAAGTATCCTTTGGATAATATCTAGCTTTATAAACCTTGGCTACCAATGAATCCGTGTTAGTGAGCAGCCTCCATGCCTCTTTCCTAACATTGCCAAGTTAAATGCCCTTAAATCTTTAAACCCAGTCCACCATGTTTCTTTGGGACACACAATTTATCCCAGGCTTTCCAATGTATGCCACGTTCCGTACCCGACCCCCACCAGTACCGATTCATAATACGTTCAATAGCTGTACACGTTCAATAGCTGTACAAACAGATATGGGTAAAAGAAAAACACTCATTGAAAATGTTGGCATTGCTTGAGCCACACTTTTCAACAAAATTTCCTTACCGGCCTGCGTTAACAACCTCTTGTTCCAAGATCCAATCCTTTGTTTGATTTTATCCTCTATGTATGCAAATGCAGCATTTTTGTTCCTACCCACAAATGAGGGTAATCCCAGGTATTTCCCAAAGTTGGGGGCTTGGGCAACACCTAGTATTTGTGCCACCATATCCTTTTCGTTCTGTCCTGTATTCCTGTTGTAGCATATGCTGGACTTATGATAGTTTACTTTCTGGCCAGATAAACTCTCATATAATTGTAAACAATTTTTAATTTCAGATGCTTCCTGTCTATTTGCTCTGAAAAACAGTAGGCTGTCATCTGCAAAAAATAAATGAGAGATCGGTGGTGCTCCTCTAGCAACCCTGCAGCCATGTATTAAACCTCTATTCTGTGCCTGTTGCAATAGTACTGAGAGCCCCTCTGCACATATAATAAACAAATATGGAGATAATGGGTCTCCCTGGCGGAGGCCACGCGTGGGCGTAACGGAGGAACTGCGAGAGCCATTTATCATAAAGTTATACGACACAGTAGTCACGCACATCATAAGTAACTCAACCCATCTATTATCAAAGCCCAGAGCTAATAGCATCCCACAGAGGAAGGGCCATTCCATGCGGTCATAGGCTTTGGCCATATCAAGTTTGAGTGCACTCCATCCTACTGCCCCGCACTGTTTCCTATTCAAGTAGTGCCCCACTTCCGCAGCTACAAGAATATTATCAGTAATCAGCCTGTCAGGAATAAAAGCACTCTGGGAGCCAGATATTATATTCTCCATTAACGGTTTCATTCTCTGCGTAATCATCTTAGCCATTATCATGTATATCACATTGCTCAATGCTATCGGGCGTAAATCTGCTACCACCTCAGGGGTTTTCTTTTTCGGGATGAGTACCACATCCGTATCATTCAGGTTAGAGGGAAAAACTCGATTATTAAGGCAATTTACTATAAACGCCGAAACATCGCTACCAACTATATCCCAGAAATGTTGATAAAAACCTGGGTTCATACCATCTGGTCCAGGAGCTTTGTCAGGGGCCATTGCAAATAGGGCATCTTTAACCTCAAATACCTCTAAAGGACGTAATAATGACTCATTCTGATTCTGGGTTACACAGGGGATACCCCAGAAAATAAATTGTCACCATTCATAGGATTACAGGAGGAAAATATATGTCTAAAATAATCCAAGATAATCGTACTCATAGCACCTCCTTCCACCCAATCCCCATTATCATTCATAAGTTTATAAATAGTATTCTTCTTCTTACGATGAGAGACGTACCTGTGATCGAATTTTGTATTAGCATCTGCATTCTTCAGCCATTGTTGCTTGGCTCTTTACCTCCAGTAAGCATCCTCTTGGATCTCCATATTACTCAGAATTCCTTCCAGGCGCTGGAATTCATTCAAGGATGCCAAATCAGTACGACCCCTAAGATGTAATTGCTGTTTTCGCAGGTGTCTGATCTTTTCACCAAACTTATGATACCGGTCTCCGCCCCATCTGGACAATCTGTTCCCACAGTGTGTTATACAGTCTTGGATCCCTTCACTCCTCCCTTCCTCCCATGATTTTTCCACCACATTCCTGCATCCATCATCATATATCCAGGCCATTTCAAACCGAAACCCCCTCCTTCCTCCCCCTCCGTTTTGGAATATTCCATGGACACTCAAAAACAACGCAGAATGATCAGATTTCCTCATCAGATTATTAATCACCCTAGCCCCAAGCACAATCTC